TATTATTAAAAATTAATTTCATAAAAAATAAAGAAATTGTTTTTAATTCACTTTTGGTAACAAAAATTTTCGCATTAATTTTTTTTAATTCCAAAATATTTTAAAACGAACTTTTTTAAAACATTTTAAAAATTTACGACATTAAAATTTAAAAACAACTTTGTTTTTGTCCAATTTTTAAATAAAAACAAATAAAAAATAAAACACGCTTATTCTATTTAATAAATAAAAATAAAAAAAAAACAATATTTACTAAATTAAATCATAAAATTAAAAGAGAAAACATTAGTTTTTATCCCGAAAATAAAAAGGCAAATAAAAAATCGATAGTAAAACAATTAAACAAAATAAAATTATTTAATGAAACAGAAAATAAGAAAAACTTTTTAATAAAACAAAAAAAAATTATATATTATGCTTTTTGTGCTCAATAAATAAAGCTTAACTGTGAGATATAAAAAAAAATCAAAGAAAAATTTAAAACAAAATTAAATAAAGAAATTCAATTTTAATTAAAAGAATGACAAAAAAAAACAAAAATTAAACCAATAAAACGCCTAAAGATAAAAAAAATATTCTTACAACAAATAATCAAATAAATTTAATTAAAAAACAAAAATAATAAACTAAACCAAAAAAAAAACAAACAAATGAAAACCAAAGCACAATATTCAAAAATTTAGTAAAAAATAAAAAAAATAATAAAAATAAAATAAATTTTAAATATCTCTCGATTATATTAACATATACATTTAATTATACATATATAGAATATAACTAACTAAAAATAGACCTTAGTTAAAACCAAACAATAAAATAAATTAAAAAACAAATACAAATTGATAATTTAAAAATCATAATTAAAAGAGAATTGCAATAGTTTTAAAATTATTAATAAATTAAAATATATCATATAATATAAAGTAAAAAATAAAAAATCTATATAAATTTAGAATAAAAAACTAAACAAAAAATTTCATTTTAAAAAATCTAGCAACAAACAAAAAAAAAAACGCAAAAAACATTTTAAAAATAATTAAACAATTAAAACATAATTAAAAATAAAATATAATAATAATAAATCTTAGATAACTTATACTTAACAATAATTATTAAATATAGAAAATGTGCATCGAATTGATAAATTTTTATTTTTAAATTAGTAAATTCAGAAAAAAAAGAAAAAATATTCTTATAAACAACAGCAAAAAACAAATTATATAATAATAAACACGCAAAAACAAAAAAATTTAATTAATATATTATATATAAGAATTAATTTAATTAATTAATAAATCACCTAAAAAATTTATATACATACATACTATTTTAAAAAAAAAATAAAATAAAACACGACTGGTTTTGAAGTTTGGGGAAGAATTTTAAAATTGTTGTGTTTTATATTTTTCAATAAAGAAAAATTTCATCACAAAAACACACGCATATTATATACTAAAAAAGAATTTATTTCTATATTACATAATTAATACTGTTATAACAAATTTAATTAAATTAAAAAATGTAACTATAAAGCTATTATATACATAGAAAATTAGAACCGATTTAATAATCGGGATAAATGAAATATTATATATAAATAAATAAATTAGAATATTCATAGCTTATAGAAAATAATACTTTTTTTCTTAATACAAACACATAAAATTAATTAAAAAATTTAAAAAAAAAAATTATGTATATAATTATACAAAAAACAAAAAAAAAATTACTTCATGCAATTTTATTTAATTACCAAGCATAAAATTCACAAAAAAAAAATTTTAATTTTTTCCTTTTTCATAATTTTTTTCATATTTATTTTTTAATCGTACAAAAAAAAAATTGCTATAAATATAAATGTAAAACTTTTTTTTCAAATATCCAAAAATAAATTCTTGTAAATCTTAAAAAAAATTTATAATATTGCAAAAATTTATTATATAAAAATTTATTATATAAGAGTCTATAAATAAAAAGTAAAAAAAATTAAATTAAATTAAAATTACAAAAAAAAGAACCTTAGACAAAAACCAAAAACTAAAAACTATTTTATAAAATATAAATGCTTTATTATAAATACAAAAACAAAAAAAAATTTAGAAAAAAAGAACAATTTTTTATAAACTTTATATAAGGTAAACTTCTTAAACATTCTATATATATTAATTATACATAAACACATATAATATATACATATATATATACATATATATATATTTGTATATATTATATATACATACATATACATAAACATTCACTTTAGAAATGAAAGAAACAAACAAAAAAAAAAATTAAGTTAATATTCTCTAGAATTTAAAATTAATTAATTACAAAAATAATAAAAAGAAAATCGTTGCGCAGTCTCTTTTATTAGAAAAAATTAAAAACTAAAAACTGATTTAATTAAACATGCATATATATATATATATATATATATATATATATCATATATATATATATATATAGATATATATATATCAATGAATAAGTATATAGATATACATGAATATATATGTATGTATATATATATATGAATATTATCCGTACATGTATATAAAAATATTTAATATATATACAACATTAATATTATTATTATAAAATTTTAGGCGAGCACAATATATTAATATATTTATTAAACATTAAAGAAAAAAAAAAATATAAAAAAAAAAAACAAAGACAACATATAAAATAAAATTAAATAAAATGAAATTTATATAATATTTTAATTACATAAGTACATAATACATGCATATATATTATAAAAATAAATAAATTAACAATAGAGAGAAAAAAAAACAAAACATAAAGAAATGGATAAAAAATTAAATATTAGAATTAAAATTATTACATACACATTTAGAAGTATATATATATATATGTATATATACATATATATACATCTAAAATACATTAAAAAAATTGTATACATTTCATGTTATTTTTGTTTCCATTTTCCTTTTTCCTAAAAAAAAAAAACATTAAAAAAAAACAAAAAAAAACAATATTATTAAAAATTTTTACATAAAAATTATTAATTCTAAAGAATATAAAAAATCCGATTGAAAACACAAAAAAATATTAATTACATACCAAAAAAAAAAAAATAAAAATTATTTACCTGCTGTGTTATTAATTAAAAAACAAAAACAAATCGCTGTTTGTAGCAAATGAACAAAATCAAAAAAAAAAAAACAAAAATACAAAAACTTAAATAAAATTTAAAACAAAAAATTATAAAAAATAAAGAAATATCAAAAATATTAATTAATTAAATATATATTACATATATATATACATATGTATATACGTATATACATATTATATATATGCATATATACATATATAAATATGAAATTATATAATTCTATAAAAGAAAAACAAAAACAAAAAAAATCATACAAAATTATTAAAAAAAAAAAGAAAACAAACCCTTTCTATATTGCATTATAAATTATAAAAATATTATCAAAAATATAAATGAAAAAAAAATATAAAAAAAAATATTGTTTTATTTACAATTTAACTTAGAAGGACTCAAGCAAAAAGCAACGTACTTGCAATCCATAGCCATGCTACAGTATGTGCGCTTAATACAAATTACTGTATGATCGCATGGAATTAAGAAATCAAACAGTTTTTAATTCTTTTACAAATTTAATGCAATTAACCAATTTCAAATAGTAAGTGTGCGCGTAATTAATTCGCAATCGAGCTGTAATAACAAAACAAAAAATTTCACGTCTACCTGAGTTCTAAATTGCAATTTATGTATAAATACATAATGTACTTACAGAGTCTAACATAAAAAATTAACATTTTGTAAAAATGAAATTGAAATTCTGCAGAACTGATGTAGAAATTGTGTAAGTGTCAAAGTTGAGTTCACTAGAACTTTTTTCGAATTAAAAACATTATTAACAGGTGACAAAATGTTAAAATTGTTAAAATTTAAAATCTGTCTACACTCAATATGAGATTTTGGACTCAATAGCTGTATGCAAGGAAATCGACTTGTATAATAAATCAGGATTGAAAAGAAAACGAGCTCTGACTAATAAATTCCTTTTGACGAGACGTATATACAAAAAAAGACAAATAAATACAGCAAAAATCAAATTCTGCAAAAATTTTACTTTCTCATAAGACTTGAGAGTCTACTTTGATAGAAAGCAACCTATATTGAGTTTACAATTGTTTTCCATTTAAAAATGACTATTCATCTACCGGATAGAACTAATAACTAATATCAACTACAATTCTCTGTATAAAATAATTTAGTAAGAGTTGTACCCAAACTATATTATACTTTTACAGTGAGATGTATTCTTAAAGAAAGAGGTATGTATAAATATTCCAAATAAATCGGCAAATTTATGATATTTTTAACACTTTCAATGGTGAGAACAAGCAGAGTTAATTAATAAATTCCTACTAGGTTTAATTAGAAAATTCCTACTACGCACATTATTATTAAAGAACCTTTAAAAAAATAAGAAATTGTCCAAATGGAAAAAATAGTAGTTTGAATCTTATCAAAAACGGAATTTCTACTTCATATAGAAAAAACTTTTATAACATAACAATTACATATTCTATGTTCGAAGCTCATTAAAATAATTATTGTTCTGAGCAGATTAACATTACCATACACATAAATAAGTAGGGTTGGACAAAAATAAGTAAGGTAAAGATTTTTATTTTCAAGCTTATTTAGTTAACTTCCATTTTGTTTTTAATAATTTTTTATTGACTCGTCTCTTGCAATCATCATGCAGCTTTTTAAGGTATAAAGAATCTACTAAATAAAATTTTATATCGAGACAAATATTATAATTGAAACACATTGATTTCATATTATCCTTATAATGTGCACAATAGTAATACCTATACTGGCACTAGCTTTTAAATGTCTTTACAATTTTATCTAATTTTTAAAATAATTAACACAGGTGTATTATACTTAAAACCTAAAATGCTTTTGTGACGAAATTTTACAAGAGCTATTTTATATACATTTTTTCAGCAATTTCATATAATATTTTTGAGTTTTCTGATCCAGTTTCATATACCAATTGCTTAAAGTGACCATCAGCTTTTTGTAATAATTCAAATGGATTACCGCATTCGATGAGTTCACCATGATCCATAACAAATATTCTATCACTATCCATAACTGTATGCAAACGATGTGCAATGGTTAACACTGTGTATTGTTCAAATTTTGTTTGAATCGTTTTTTGGATTAATTTATCAGTTCTACAACAAATTTAAAATAAAGTTAATTCAAATTACTTTTTGAAATATGTATGTCATACTTACCCTGGGTCAACATTCGCTGTTGCTTCATCTAAAATCAAAATTTTATTTTGCCTTAAAATAGCCCTTGCCAAACAAACCAATTGCCGCTGCCCCATACTAAAATTAGAACCACCATCTGACATTCTAAAGTTTAACCCATCGATCATAGAAGAAACAAACTCTTTCAATTCAACATCTTCCAAGGCTTTCCATAATTCATCATCATTTGATTTATTAAAAGGATCTAAGTTATACCTTAAAGTGCCAGAAAACAGTACAGGATCTTGTGGAATTATTGATATTTTACTTCTTAAATCATGTAAACCTAATCGACTAATATCAATGTCGTCAATTTTTATTTCGCCTTCATTACAAGCTAGTCGAAATATTGCTTGAATAATAGATGATTTTCCAGCACCAGTTCTCCCAACAATTCCGATTTTTTCTCGTGGCAGTATTTCAAAATTCAAATTTTTTAAAATGTATTCACCATCATTAGAATATTTCATGTTAAAATCAGAGAAAACTATTTTTCCATAAAATGGCCAGTTGTCTTTAGGACAATTTTCAGGAGTACTTTCAAGCGGTGCTTCGGAAATTTCATTTGAGTATTCGAGAATTCTTTCAACACTAGTCATATGAATTTCCAATTCGGCTGACTGTCTTAAACCCCACTGACACATTGTTATTAAGGAAATCGATTGTGAAACCGCCAATCCAACATCTCCGCTAAAAAACTGTTCTTGCAGTAGGAGAAAACTATATGTTACAATTCCAATGTAAAAAACGCAAAGAAAATCTAACCATATTACAAAAGCTCTCGTTGTTGCCAGAAACAAAAACCAACTGGATGCATTTGAATTTTGAAACATGTTAAACTGATCTTCCATGAATTGTTGGGCTTGTATGGAACGTATGGTGACTAAACCTTGAAACGTTTTATTTACATGCGAATAAATAGGACTCCGACCTAAAATTCAATGATTTTTTTTTAAATTTATATTTTTCCTTTACGTTTCTTTTTATAAATACTTGCTGATTCTATACGTTTTACACTTCGACTTGTGCTAATATAAAATTTTCGAATAAATATAAATACTATTGCCATGAAAATAGCTGGTATTAAGAGCCAATAATTAGCAATTGACACCATTATAACGATTGCTATCATGTCCGTGATGAACTATAATAAAAGTTTAATGCTACTTAGAAAAATTTATTAAAAATTTGAAAAGTTTATTAAAAATTTCTACTTACAAATATACAATCAATCAAAGTCATCGGCAATGTAACATCAATGATATTCATATCTTTCGAAAATCTGTTAAGAATTCTTCCGGAAGGCGTTATATTAAAAAAGTACATAGTGGCACGAATCACGCCATTAAACAGTCTATCATGAAGCTTCAAAGAAATTCGTAAACACATTAAGAAAAACCCAAAACTGCGAAGTATATACAAAATCAGGGCAAAAATAAGAAGGCAAGAATAAATTATTATCATGTTGATTCGAATAGAGCTAGTATCTTCCGGCAGCACAATTTTTCCTATATTATATAATATTTTCATTAGATTTTGAAAACTGTCTTCTTCCCAAATAACCCTATAATATGAATCATTAAAGAATTTTCAAACTAAACAGTATTTAAAAGAAAATACCATCTTGAAATAAAATAATCAACTCCACTTAAAACCCCTCTTCCAGCTATAAACAATAAAATAACCATTAGTAACCATTTCCAACTGTCTAGGGCTTTAAAGTAACTAGTGAACACTTTTAATTTTACAGACCCCTTCTCCTGTTTTTCATTTCTAGCATCATATACTTCGATTTTATCGTTCTCGAAATTTTGCACTAATTTCTGCTCAGCAGATAGAATTGTGTTTTTTTTAATGTCATCACTGTCTTTTTCAATTGACTCCCCAATAAAGTCTTTTAAATACTTGGATGGCTCCTGTTTTTGCAAGTTTTCAAAGTCTCCTTCAAATTCTATGCTACCATTGTGAATAAGTAAAATTTTTTCCATCTCTTTTAGAAATTGAGTTTGATTAATTGCTAAAATCCGAATCTTATTATTTAAATATTTCTTAAAACACTCTTCAAAAATATAGTTGGCAACATGTGCATCAACAGCTGATAACGGGTCGTCAAAAATATAAATGTCTGCATTTCTATAAATCGCTCTTGCTAAATTAATTCTAGCTTTTTGTCCGCCACTTAAACTTATACCATGTTCCCCTACCATTGTTAAGTCACCATGTGGCCAAAATTTTATATCGTCCTCCAATGCACAAACTTTTAAAACTTCATTATACCGACCAATATCAAGAACTTCATTAAACACAATATTATCACGAACTGTACCTTCAAAAATCCAAGACTCCTGGCTAGCATAACTGAATTTACCAAAGCAAAATGCATTTCCACTAATAATTTGCAATTCTCCTAATATAGTATTTAGTAAAGATGATTTTCCTGAACCAACTGATCCAATAACTGCAATCAAAGCTCTACTTTTTATATCAATATTTACATCGAATAATACTTTTGTAACGTTTGCCATTGAATCTATTGCATTAGAATTCCAGGTTGCAGAAACATTTTTGAGTATTACACAAGGACTTATTTTCTTTTTTAATAATAATATAGATTTTCTCATTTCATAGTTTTCAATTATCTCTAATTTATTGTTATCATGAGATGTAGAGTTTTCATATAATACATTTTCACGTTCTTGTAACACTTCTAATATACGTTTTGCTGAAATATTAGCTTGTACCATGTAAGTTATTGCAGTAGGCCAAAAATATATCAACGATCGATTCAATATATCAAAAATACTTGAAATAGTGAAGACACTTTTAGCTGTTAGAACATTTCCAGTATATAAATATGAAAGAATTGTCAGAAATATTGCAAATTTTGATATAATTGAAGTAGTTTGTAAAAAAGCATAAATGGTTGAGGTACCCCGAATCGCTTTAATTTCATTTTTCCTTGCATCACTCACAATTTTTGCAAATGTTTTTTCCCAAGCATACATTTTTATAATTTGAATTCCAAGAATTATTTCGTTCATTAGTTTAACTCTAAAATCAGTTCTCTTTGAAGTTTTTTGATGAAAATTTCCGGCTTTTTTAGCTCCCCATGCTTCTATTGGTATAAAAAACAATAGCAGACCAATTCCAACAAATGATGCATATCCCATTTCAAGATAAGCTAAATATCCTAAGACTATTACTTGCATAGGTCCAACAAGTGCATCATGAACAAAAGAGAATACGTAATCAAATTTGCTAACATCATTTGATAGAACGTTAATAATTTTAGCACTCAAACCATCACTTGAAGAACTTTTAGATACTTTTAATATTTTGCGATAAATTAATCCAGACAAACCAACTCGAACTCGTAAACCAATCTCCAAAACATAAAACATTAAAGGGTGAAATATGAGGACTGATGGAAATAATGAAATTACGATTCCCGTAGCGTACATATAAGCTTGTGTTTTCGTAATACTATTGTCCTTTTGCGAAAAGTACGAAATTAAATTTCCCAGACAGTATGGTTGAATAGCTCTAAAAAAAATTAATAATTTTAATTGTAATAATATGTTGTTGTGTTAGAAAATTTTCATTAACGTTAATTTAATTATGAATCTAATTACTATTTTCGCTAATTAACAAAACTGATATTAACAAAAAAAAAAAATTTTTAACGATATTGACAAAAATGATATACGATAATGCAAATTAAATACTTTATTTTTTCTTTAATATTTACTTTCATCAAATTCAATTGCCACTGATAAAAATGTTATAAAAATTTGCAATAGAAAGATATTATACAAATACAGATATTATGAATTTTTTACTGATTTAAAAACCTAAAAAAATACCGAATGAGAAGCACCTTATTTTACTGTTACCCGCCCTTAAACATTTTTTTATAATATTTCAAAATTATATATTATAAGTTGTTTTTACTTTGCAATTGTTTCCAAGATGGCAAATCCTATACATAACGGTAGAAAATATAATCCGAAAGCTTTAATAATTAATCGAATGATGCTGGGATGTTTTCGTTTCGATTCATCATCCCAAAGTTGCGCAAATTTTTCTGTCAATAGTACAGCATCAAAGGAGGGTTTATGCAAATAAATATCCTCATCTTTTAATGGTCTTTTATACCCTTTGCGAAATAATTTTAATGTCCACCTAAAATAAATTTAGAAAATAAGTTAATTTAAGTTTAAGTAATTTTTATTTTTAATTAAAATTAATCGAATACAAAAAAATACCAAAAACTCCATTTTGAAATAAAATTAGCTGTAAGATAAGGATTTGGTTCTCTTTCACTAAATTCCTTTTCATCACGTTCCTCCCAGGTTCTATTATTTAGGTTCATTTTTTATTCATTAATAGGCTGTCATAAAATAGTTTTCGAATGGATCTGATTAATATTTCCTGTTTTCCAACTGTTTCGCAGCTGTTTCTTATATATTAACGTCAAAATTTCAACTTGAAATATGATAATACAATTCTAAGTTTTTCAATGAAATGTTTAATGCTTACTAACCCGATTTCTATTATACTTTCCCATTAACTCTTATGAGAAAGTATAACTTTTTTAGGTAATTCAACAATATTTTTATTATCGATCTAAATTAGATAATGTTTATGTAATCTATATAAGATAAGATTTCAATAATCAAAAGATAATTATTAATCTTATCAAATATTTTTCGAAATAAGTGATAAGCCTTAAATAAGATTATTTTGTTTTACTTCACTAACCTTGACCTTATTGTTAAGATAATAAAAGTCTTAGGGGGACATCACATTAAAAAGTGTTTATAATACAACATTAAAAAGTATTAGAAACTATAGGCAATACTAGTTTCGTTTACGAGAAATATTACTCGTAATTAGCAATAGACCTTGTTAAAAGATCTAAGCAAAACGAATTCATTTACCATTGCTTGCTATGTGCATTAAACTGTTGAAAATTTAACCATAAGCAATATGAAGATTTAAAGATTCTTTGGCGCGCAAATTTTTGCTTAAGTGTCTAAAAAAATTTTTAAAAAACATTCTTAAAACTACAATTTTTAAATAAAATTCATCTTCGTTTGCAACTTTGATAACAACTTTGTATAATATTGCTCAATTTATTAAGTACAGACATTAATTTATTCCTTAACTTGGCATATTAAACAAATTAATGAAAGAATTTTTTCCGAGAACTTTCCAATGCTATTTGCCTCAGCATATTTGAAGTTTCTGCACCTGTTTCTTCTATCAGACTTCTTAAGTATCCATCTGAATATTGCAGCAATTCATATGGGCGACCAAATTCTACAATTTGACCAGCTTCCATTACCATTATTCTATCACTATCTATAACTGTATGCAATCTGTGTGCAATGGTTAATACTGTACAAAATTCAAACTTTGTACGAATCGTCTTTTGAATCAGTTTATCAGTTCTAAAATTAAATAATTATTGTTTTAATAATGTTTTCTAATGTAATTTTCTTATCTGTATACTTGATAATTCTTACTTACTCTGAATCAACATTTGCTGTAGCTTCATCTAAGATCAAAATTTTATTTTGTCTTAAAATTGCCCTTGCCAAACAAACTAACTGTCGTTGACCCATACTAAAATTAGAACCCCCGTCAGACATCCTACAATTCAAACCATCGTTCAATGAAGAAACATATTCTTTTAGTTCAACTTCTTGTAATGCATTCCATAATTCAGCATCGCTTGATTTTTCAAATGGATCTAAGTTATACCTTAAAGTGCCAGAAAAGAGTACAGGATCTTGTGGAATTATTGATATTTTACTTCTTAAATCATGTAAACCTAATCGACTAATATCAACGTCATCAATTTTAATTTCGCCTTCATTACAAGCTAGTCGAAATATTGCTTGAATGATAGATGACTTTCCTGCACCAGTTCTTCCAACAATCCCAACTTTCTCTTGCGGTTTTATTTCGAAGCTCAAATTTTTTAAAATATATTCACCATCAACAGAGTATTTCAATTGAAAATCTGAGAAAACTATTTTTCCATAAAGTGGCCAAGTTTCTTTAGGACGATTTTTAGGTGTACTTTCAAGTGGTGGTTCTGGTTTCTCATTAACATACTCAAAGATTCTTTCAATACTAGTCATTTGATTTTCTAATTCAGCTGTTTGTCTCATTCCCCATTGCATTGCTCCAACTAATGAAATACTTTGAGTGATTGCAAGTCCGACGTCACCGCTATAAAAATGATCTTCAAGCAGTAAAAAACTATAGGTAACGACAGCAATAAATATAACGCAAATAATCTCTAACCATAGAGAAAAAGCTCTATTTGTGGCAACGTACAAATACCATGCCGAAGTATGACTATTATTGTGTTTATAAAACTCTTTTATAAACTCATTTTGTGCAGATAAAGCTCTAATTGTGATTAATCCTTGAAAAGTTTCGTTTGTATGTGAATATATTGGACTACGATCTAAAAGTATTACGAAAGTTATGACATAAATTTAAAAATATAAGATATAAAAACTAATATATCACTCACTAACAGATTCGATACGTTTAATACAGCGACTTGTGCAAACATAAACACGTCTTACGATATAAAACAAGACTCCCATTAAAACAGCTGGTATTATTAGCCAATAGTTTACTATTAATACTAATATAAGTACTGCAAAAACATCTGTAAAAAACTGAAATATATAGAATTAAAATTTTAGTAATTCAATTTACTACAAAACAAAAATGCTTACATAAAGACACTCTAATAATGTCATTGGTAGACTGGTGTCTAAAGAGCCAACGTCTTTTGAAAATCGGTTTAAAATTCTCCCAGATGGATTCATATTGAAAAAATACATTGTAGCCCTAGTTACACCCATAAATAGTTTATCATGAAGTTTTAGTGAAATTCTCAAACACATGAAGAAAAAACTAAAGGTTCGAGTAATGAATAAAATTAATGTGACGAAGAGAAGAGTTGAATATATTACTACAACATTTATTCTTTCTTTTTCCACTTGATCTGCATCTGAGCTACGTGTTCCGAATGCTCCATTCACAAAGTCAAGAGTGAAACTTTTTGAAGTTGTATTTTTTGTTAATTCTTCTTCCCAGATTACCCTAAAGTTATAAAACAAAATTATAATTTTTCTTTTTAAAAGAGATGAGACGAAATTTAAAATCAAATTTAATTCAAACTCACCATCTGGAAATAAAATAATCCACAGCACTAAATACACCTCTCGCAAGAACAAACAATGATATTACCGTTATAAACCAACAAAAGTTATTCAAGGCTTTAAAATAAGACTTGTATATATCCAATTTGACCGCTCCAATTTCCTGCTTCTCTTTACGATCTTCACCTTTATCTTTCTCTTTAACACTAGTCAATCTTTGAATTAATTCTATTTTCTTTTCACTTTCAGTTTTCGAACTAGCAGATGAGTTAACACTTTGTAGTTCTTCCGTTTCGTCCTGCACTTGGTTTAATAAGCTATATTGATTTAATTTTTTCAAAGCCTTAAAACTATCTTGGGCCTGAATTTTTCCAGAATTGATCAAAACTAAATTTTCTACATTTTTCAGGTACTGTAATTGATGAGTAACTAAAATACATATTTTATCCTTCAAAAATTCTTCCACACAAAATTCAAATATGTGCTTTCCAACATGAGCATCTACTGCTGATAATGGATCATCTAATAGGTATATATCTGCCTTTCTATAAACAGCGCGAGCTAAATTTACCCGTGCTTTCTGTCCACCACTCAAAATGATTCCCCTTTCACCAACTATTGTTGTATCACCATGCGGCCATAAATCTATATCTCTTTGCAAGGCGCAAACTTTAATAACTTCTTGGTACCTTTTTTCGTCGAAATCATCGATAAATACAATGTTATCACGAATGGAACCTTCAAAAAGCCATGGTTCCTGACTACAGTAGCTAAGTTTTCCATTAACACGTAACACTCCTTCAGTTAATTCTATTTCGCCAAGAATAGCATTCAAAAATGAAGATTTTCCTGCACCAACAGAACCAATTACTGCTATTAAGCTTTTTTCTTTTATGTTGATATTAAAATCTGTTAAAGTTGGAGAATAACTTTCTTGGTCATTTGCATTCCAAGATGCAGAAACTTTTTCGAACGACACATTTTTATTAGAAGATATTTGATTATGTATTCTGCTGCCTTTTGCTAAACTATTCTGTATTTTTATTTTGTTATTGCCATTTTCTACTTTATTCAATCCCGTTTTGTCTTCTTCTAAAAGAAATTCTTTAACACGTTTCGTTGAAATGTAGGTTTCTGCACAGCAAGTAATTGCTTTGGGCCAGCGTATTAATGAATCATTCAGTACCAGAAATATTAGCGAAATTGTAAAAACTTTTTCAGCGTTAATCGGTTCTTCGCTCATATATATGTAAGAAATTAATGTTAAAAATATTGAAAATTTTGATATCATAGGCGTTGTAGCAATGCATGCGTAAACTTTCATAGTTTGTCGAATAGCTTCGACTTCTTTTTTTCGTGCTTCTCCGACAATGCAAGCAAAAGACTTTTCCCAAGCGTACATTTTTATAACTTGAATACCACGGATAATTTCATTCATTAATTTTATTCGAAAATCAGTTCTTTTTGCCATTCTCATACGGTATTGGGCAATCTTTTTTCCAGCCCATGCTTGCAACGGTATAAAAGATAATATAAAACCTACGCCGATAACAGCTGATAAACCAACTTGTTGGTAAGCTATATAACAGAGAACAATAGCTTCAATTGGACCTTGCCATAACTCACGGGAAAAAAATAAGAATATATCAAATTTAGACAAATCATTTGCCAAAATATTAATAGCTCGTGCACTTAATCCATCATTTGTCGCTTTTTTAGATATTCTCAAAATTTTATTGTATATTAATCCAGATAAAGCTAAACGAATTTTAATTGCAATGTGAGACGTATAAAAATTAAAAGGATGAAATGTTATAACACGAAGAAATGATGATAAAACTACTCCGGTTGCATATAAATATGCATCAGTTTTAGATATTTTACCTACATTATTTCCTTGGGAAAAATATGACACTAAGGCACCAAGGCAAATTGGTTGAGCAATCCTAAAATAGTAATTAATAATTTTGTTATTAAAAAATTTATCCTTTAGATTTTTTTTTTATAAATTAAATATATAGTGTAAAATTCATTACTTGGTACCAAACTTCAGCAGATCAAAAATAAAAGCATATATTATGAATGATATGCCGTAAGCACCGAATATTAAACGTATAATACTAGGGTTTTTTCTTTCAAGTTCATTTTCCCACAATTTTGTAAACTTTTTTGTAACTCTTTCACAATCTAAAGATGGTATATGTTCGTACAATTCTTCCTCTTTTAATGGATGATCATAGCCTTTTCGAATTAACTTATGAACCCACCTATAAATAAAAAAAAATTCTTAAAATAATTTTTTTCCAATTAATATTTTTTAAATCAAATTAAAATCTCGTATAGCATAATATATTTATGTATAATAGAAGTTAATAATGTAGACTGTATTTGAAAAGCAGCTTATTGGAAACCACACCAGTCACTCGTTGTTCCATGCTTTTGAAATTGAAAAGTCAATGTTTTTTATTTATATATTTTTATTGCATCTATAAAATTTTATATTGAAATATTACAAATTATCACTAGTTATTTATTTATATCCTATATAGCTATATATAATTCAAGTGTTTGTTTTACAAAAAACTCCAATCAATTACAAATATTTATTTAATAATTTCAACAACAAGCACTATTGCTGTTATACACCCTACGAACGTTTGCAAAAATATTTATTATTTTTACTTAAAAAATTCGAACGCTATATTTATAGCACATGTATGCTTAATATAAATTTCATTGTGTTATTGATATTTACTTTGATTCTCTCAAATTTATTAATTTTTTTTTTTAATGAAACTCATTAAGTACTTCCCCAGACATAGATCAGTTTTATCTATTTTATCAATTTTCTATGTTTCACATAGTATAAACAAATTTTATTATCGGAGCTCCGAATCGTATATCATATTATCTAATGTATGACTTATCATATTTTACTGTATGATTTTAATTGAAAAATATGAAAAAAAAAATTAAATAAATTAAAATATAGATAACCAGGTGATAACAATTAATAATCTGTTTTAAAAAAATGTTTGCAAAACAAATCATAAAAGAAAAACTTTGTATTAAATTCAAATATTTTATTTTAAATTCATAATGTAAACGTTTTGCTTCGTCACTTCACTTAATCATAAAAGCATTAATCTATTTAAGTATAATGAAGCGTAAACGTTCTTACTCGTTTAAAAATATTTCACATTAAAGTATAGAAAAAAAAATTATTAAATATTTACTTTTTGAAGATTACTGCGATCTTATGGAGCCCAAACAAATATTTATACAATTTCAATATTTTCACCCGCACAAAATTAATAAAATTTAAAATAAATTAATAAATATAAATAAAATTATTAATTGTACATGTAACGGTAATTAAAATTATTCACATATTTATTAAAAATTTGACTTACCAAAAAGTATATCTCGATATGAAATTGGCATCAAGTATAGGATTTTTATCTCTTTTAATAGATAAATTTGTTCTATTCATAATAATTTATTATGTTTATTTGAATGAAAACGAATTTAAACGTATTCAATTCGATATTTGCTTCTATTTTTGTATTCTGGAGAATAATTTACATATATGTACATAAATCAAAAATTATCTAAATATATACATACGACTACATAAATATTTTAAACGTTTATAAATAAAAAATTCCCCTGTTTTTTGCTTGAATTTAAAAAAGCAAAATTAATTATTCTTCTTATAAAAAAACATAAACTCTAATTGGTAAATTTAACTGTAATTAAAACATAAAATTAACCGTTTTATTCGAATCGTTTTTAACCTCTTCAATTCAAGAACCGTTCTGATTCAAGTACAACACTATACTGAAAACAAAATTCTCAATATTACTTTATACTTATATTTACTTGTTTAAAGCTTAATCAAAGCTTCAGTGTTCTTGTTATAATATTGTAGTAGAATTTTTACTCTACTACAATTTTTTAATTAATTGCTCGCATTTATAATTCATTGTAGATCAATTATAATTTATTGAAGATCGATTTTTTCTTTTTGAACGGATAAATTCTATCTCAAAATTCTCAAAGCATAGAAATCTAACCTAAATATAAATGTTCTGAAACGAAAGAAATTAAAATGGTCAAATAAAAAAATAAATAAATAGTTTTTGTTAAAATAATAAAATTTTTGAAAAGGTGCTCTAATATTTGAAAAGGAGAGATGAAAGGCTTCTATGTATAATAATATTATATAAATAATATTTTTACCTATAAAACTTTTTGTTGCCAAAGTGCAAAAATAATTAGAACGGAAACACTCAACTTACTCACTAGTTAGTTCAATACCAGTTCTCATGTTTGCTTAATAGAATATAGAATATAGATAACAAATTATACTCGTATTACGTTTCTTGAGGCTTGGTTTGCTTATATTCTCTTTCCTAGAATTTCTCATCAAAAATTTTTTTTTGATTTTGTGGCTCATTAAACTCTTTAGTTACTAATTGCTATATCATAATTATTTCACCATATTGATCAATTAAATTCAAAAATTTAACATACAAAGAGCTTTTAATAGTGAAAACGATTAATTTTTCAAATAATAGTTAATCGATGTTAGTACTAATACCTGTATTATTTCATTATATTCTTTAAAGATTATAAAAATCGTAAGGCATATTTAATTTACAAACTTTTTTGGAAGGGTAACTTAATTCAGTTTATCTCTAAAATATTCAAATCTCTAAAGGAATATAAGTGAAATCTATATTTGATTTGTACTCATTTTTTTAGTTTATTTTTAGTTTATAAAATAATATGAAAAATGGTTTAAAGTTAACATGGAATTACTTTACTAATTTCTTTATTTAGCATTATTAAAAATCATTAATATATTAAGTACAAAATTTTAATTATAATTTAAATTCGTTAAAACAGTTAATTAATTATAATTGACCTAAGTGATTCAATTGTACTTTTGAGCTAGCTTCAGGTTTTCCCATGATAACTACCTGACGCCATTTGTATTAATATATTGGATGTTTCTACACCTGTTTGATCTACCAATTTCTTTAAAAATCCATCTGAATTCTGCAATAATTCATATGGATGACCGAATTCCACAGCTCGGCCACTATCCATTACTAGTACTCTATCGCTATCTATTATAGTATGTAATCGATGTGCAATAGTTAAAACTGTACAATGTTCAAATTTTGTACGAATCGTCTTTTGTATCAGTTTGTCAGTCCTAAAATTAAAAATTTATTTCATTATTCAAATGATTTATACCGATAAATATTTTCATGCTTACTCTGGATCAACATTAGCAGTAGCTTCATCTAAAATCAAAATTTTATTTTGCCTCAGAATAGCCCTTGCCAAACAAACTAATTGCCGTTGTCCCATACTAAAATTAGAACCACCATCTGACATTTTGCAATTCAGACCATCAGTCATTGCAGAAACATACTCTTTTAGCTCTACTTCTTGTAACGCACTCCACAATTCAGCATCACTTGATTTTTCAAATGGATCTAAGTTATACCTTAAAGTGCCAGAAAACAGTACAGGATCTTGTGGAATTATTGATATTTTACTTCTTAAATCATGTAAACCTAATCGACTAATATCAATGTCACCAATTTTAATTTCGCCTTCATTATGGGCCAATCGAAATATGGCTTGAATAATAGATGATTTCCCAGCACCAGTTCTTCCCACAATTCCGATCTTTTCTTCCGAATTTATTTCAAAATTTAAGTTTTTTAAAACGTATTCTCCATTCTTGGAATATTTCAAATTAACATTATTGAAAATTATTTTTCCATAAATTGGCCAGTCATTTTTAGGACGATTGCTTGGCACACTTTCATAAGCAGGTTCTGGCTTTTCGTGAATATATTCAAATATTCTTTCCACACTAGTCATTTGATTTTCAAGTTCAGCTGTTTGTCTCATTCCCCACTGAACCGTACCAACTAGTGAAATACATTGGGTAATTGCAAGTCCAGCATCACCACTGTAAAATTGATCTTCAAGTAAAAGACAACTATATGTGACAATAGCAATAAAAACAACACAAAAGAACTCCAACCATAAAGCAAAAGCTCTTGTTGTTGCTAAAAACAAATACCAAGCAGATGTATGACAATTATTATGTTTGTAAAACTCTTCTGTCATCTCGTTTTGAGCAAATGAAGCTCTTATGGTTGTTAATCCTTGAAAAGTTTGATTTATATGTGAATATATTGGACTGCGATCTAAAAATTTTAAAAATATTGTGGATCTGAATTAAGAAAAATTTTACGATACGAGTGCACTTACTTATAGATTCGATACGCTTAATGGAACGGCTTGTATTAATATAACAGCACCTCATGAAAAAGAAAAGAACCCCCATTATAACAGCCGGTATTAAAAACCACTTGTTTACTACTACCACCATCACCAGTATCGCGAAAATATCAGTAAAAAACTGAAATGAACAAATTTTACCTTTGCAAATTTAAGTATATGTTTTAAAAAAAATTAACACTCACGTGAACACAATCTAATAAAACAGATGGTAAAGTTGAATCTATAGAGTCCACATCCTTAGAAAATCGATTTAAAATTCTTCCAGATGGGTTCATATTAAAAAAATACATTGTAGCTCTTATTACTCCTTTAAATAATTTATCATGAAGTTTAAGTGATATTCGCAAACACATGAAAAAAAAGACGAAATTTCGTGTTAGAAATAAAATTAACGTAATGGCTAAAAGTCCTGAGTAAATTATGATCAATTCAGTTCTTTCTCTTCCCACCTCATCCTCATGGATTAAGACTCCTTCGATATTGCTAGCTAACCTTGTGTTTTGTCCAGCAGTTACATTTCGTGAAATATCTTCTTCCCAAATTACCCTAAAATTTCAACAACACCATTATATTCTTTTTTATCATAAATACTACTCGAAAATAGATTTACACTTACCATCTAGAAATAAAATAATCTACAATACTGAGAGCAGCTCTCGCAAAAACGAATAGCAAAACTACAGACAAAAACCAACAGAAATTATTCAATGATTTGAAATATGACTTGTATACATCAAATTTGATTGCTCCTATTTCCTGTTTCTCTTTACGATCTTCGCCCCCATCTTCCTCCTTAATTTTAGTCAGCTCTTGTATTAGATTCATTTTCTTTTCACTTTCACTTTTTGAGCTAATTGATGAATGAATACTTTCTGTTTCTGCAGCTTCATCTTGAGCTTGAGTTAACAAACTAAACTCATTTAACTCTTTCAATGCCTTGTAACTCCCTTTAGCTTGAATTCTCCCAGAATTGATCAAAACTAAATTTTTTACATTTTTCAGGTACTGTAATTGATGAGTAACTAAAATACATATTTTATCCTTCAAAAATTCTTGAACACAGTTTTCAAAAATATGTTTTCCAACATGCGCATCCACAGCCGATAATGGGTCATCCAGCAAATAAATATTCGCCTTCTTATATACAGCGCGAGCTAAATTTACCCGTGCCTTCTGTCCACCACTCAAAATGATTCCCCGTTCACCAACTATTGTTGTATCACCATGCGGCCATAAATCTATATCTCTTTGTAAAGCACAAACTCTAATAACTTCTTTGTATCTTTTTTCATCGAAACCTTCGATAAATACAATATTATCACGAATAGACCCTTCGAAAAGCCATGGTTCCTGACAACAATAACTTACTTTTCCATTAACGTGTAATACACCTTCATTTAATTGCATTTCACCCAGAATAGCATTCAGAAAAGAAGATTTACCTGCACCTACAGAGCCAATAATTGCGAATAAACTCCTTTCTTTTATGTGAATATTTAAATCTGACAAAGTCGTAGAACTATTATAAAGGTCGTTGGAACACCAAGATGCAGACACTTTTTCAAACAACACACTTATCTCTGTAGCTCTGCTTTCATTATGGATTCTAGATCCAGATTGAAAACAATTAGCTCCAATAATTTCTTCCAATAGAAAATCTTTTACTCGTTTCGTTGAAATGTAGGCTTCTGCCAAACTTGTTATTGCTCTAGGCCAACGAACTAATGAATCATTTAATAGAAGAAATATCAACGATATGGTGAAAACCTTTTCAGCATTAATTGTTTCGTCATTCAAATAAATATAAGATATTAATGTTATAAATGTTGAAATCTTCGAAATCATTGAGATAGTCGCTAAAAATGAATAAACTTTCATAGTTCCTCGAATAATTTTGATTTCTTTTTTGCGAGCTTGTTCCACAATATTTGCGAAACATTTTTCCCAAGCATACATTTTTATAACTTGAATACCTCGAATAATTTCATTCATTAATTTAATTCTAAAATCAGTTCTTCTTGCCGTTCTTAATCGATATTGCGCGACTTTCTTGCCGGCCCAAGCTGGTAGTGGAGTAAAACATAACAGAAAACCTACGCCGATAATTGCTGATATCCCAACTTGTTGATAAGCAATATAGCAGAGAAATAAAGCTTCAATTGGACCTTGCCATATATCACGAATTAAAAATAAAAGTAAATCAAATTTCGATAAATCGTTTGATAAAATATTAATGGCACGAGAACTCAACCCATCATTCATTGTTGTCGTAGATATCTTTAAAATTTTACTGTATATTAGTCCCGACAAAGCTAAACGAATTTTGATTGCGATTTGAGAGGAATAAAATTGAAAAGGATGAAGCGTTATTCCTCGTAAAAGCGATGATAATACTACTCCAGTTGCATATAAATATGCGTCTGTTTTCGATATTCCACCTGCACTATTTTGCGTAAAATATGACATCAAACCAGCAAGGCAAATTGGTTGAGCAATTCTGGAATGTTTGTTAATAATATTACAATTCTATATATTGGTTTGCATATAATTATTTACTTAGTTACGAATTTTAATAAATCAAGTAATAGGGCATATATTATAAAAGATTTGCCAAAAGCACAAAATATTACACGTATAATGCTAGGATTTTTTCTTTTTAATTCATCCTCCCATAAGTTTGCAAACTTTTGTGCAACTGTTTCGCAATCTAAAGATGGTATGTGTTCGTACAATTCTTCTTCTTTTAAGGGACGATTAAAACCTTTTCGAAACAACTCACGAAGCCACCTAAAATAAAATCAAAATAGTTAAAATATTTTGTGTGTGTTTAAATAAATTTCGATATTAATTTATTGAATTGAAATTTAAACAATTTCTTATTTGAAAATCATTAATTTCAAAAACTAACTTCAACAAAAATAATACGACGCTTCAATATTTGTGACTTTCTAATTTATTCCAACATATCACTGTTACTATAATTTAATTAAGGAACCTACAATATGAAACAAAAAAATTAAGGTTATTTAAAAACATTAAAATAATATTTACAGTTGCGGTAACAATTACTAAAAAAAATTCAAATAAAATAGGTACTAAATAATATATCAGTGTTATCAATTAAGTTGGTATTAATTAAATTACAGTTTAATTGAGTTAACAAACATTTACTAAATTATAAAATCTATAAAAACGATAGTTACTGTCTTTGTCTTTCATTAAATAACGATTCTAAACTATTTATACATACTTGATTTACAATTTATTTAAATAAAAGTTTTGTTTCGTAACATGTCGCTAAAGTGTAACTATAAATGATTCCATACTAAGGATCACTAAGCGCGATAATAAATTACATGTATTAAACACGACTATAAAAATAATTTTTTATTTCTAAAATATTATGGTGCTGGTAAACTTTACGAATTATAAATAAACAATACTGCATCTTATTTAATTTAAGCTTTGCACTTACGCCTACAGGACATTTGTAGCTTTACTATTTTATAGTTCTCTATTCACAAATAATTATTCTATAATAGCATTCAATTGATAATAATTCTCATTTAATAAAACAAGTAAAAATCAAACTTACCAAAATGTCCATCTTGATATAAAATTAGCCAGAAGTATGGGATTTCTTTCTTTCTTTGCAGATATGTTTGCTCTCTTCATAATAGGATATTCTTTTTATATTATCAAAGCCCACTCAAGAAGTATTTAAATTTATTTTACTCGTAAATCCAAAGATGAACAAACCTACTTTTTCTTAGATTCAAAACAATTTCACTTAAATTGTTTTCGATAAGAAACACTTAATTAATATGTAATATTTATTAGATAATAATAAAATTATTTTGCAAGCTTAATATATTTCCTAACCATTCTCATTCAAAACCACTACTCTACTGAAAAGGGTTCTCAGTTAAACAAAAAAAAAGTTATTCTCTATTGTTATTTTAAAAAGCTTATTCAATTGTAGTTCTCTTTTCATTTATCTCTTGTTATAACAGTAGCATTTATATTCTGTTTAAAATAGTAAGTTAATGACAATAGCTACTTCAATTTTTTCTAAAGTTCTTTTCATATAGTCAGTTTGCACTTTATAGTTGTGAGTTTTATTTCAATTTACTTAATTACTGTATCAATATTTAACAAAAAAATGTAAAACAAATCACTTTTGAATCTTGTTTACATATTGTCTTGTTCTCTTTTTAGTTTCTCTCATAATTATTTGAACATTTTACTCAGTCAAACTTTTAATAATAAAATTTTATATTATTAATAAGTACAGCTATATCTAAGCTTTTATTAATTAAAATACTAACAACTTCAAAAACCATAGTTATCGTTTTTGAAATTTAGAATTTTAACAAGTTCGTAAAACATAAGAAATGTTCTTTAATTCGTTTGCGGAACATAAGAATATTTTAAATGGAAATTTTAATGAAATATACACGTTTTTCGAGTTAAAATGATTGTAATTGACAAATTTCTTTTTTGGTACAATTCTGAATTGTTGATATCGTATAAAAAATATTCTCAATCCACTTTAACTACTTACAAAATAATAATGGTTTTTAGTGTATATAGTAAGAGTTACAAGTTTGCAAAGCGGACTTGAATTTAAATTAAACTAAATCGAAAAAATCAAATAAGTTTTTCCCATATTTAAAAAAATTTGGAAAAAAAATTTAATTGATCAAAAAAATTTTGTATTTTATGTATAAAAATATTATGTCTTTATTATGAATCTTGTTTTATTTAGCTTATATAAATATTTAATTTGCCATTTATTACACAACTATTATCCAAATATTGAATAGTAATCAAAATAGTATACTGTTATATAATGCATAGCAACAAACAACATATTACATAGTTACGTATTTAACATAATTTTATAGTTTTGCTTTAGTTTTCACATTTTATTGCCGCCATAATCATAATAATTATGTTGAACAGTTTTGTTTTAATTATTAATAGTACTTTTGTTTTTAAGTACATTTTAATAAGATATTTTTTAAAATCACAACATTCGAAAGACAATTCGAATTCAATAATTTATTTAGAATTTATAATAAGGCTTAAAATAATGTGAATGTATAAAAAAGATTTCTAGGTAATATTGGAATACTTTGGTAATATCTATATACTTAATATTACTTAAAATTCTTAGTTTCTTAAGTACAAAATTTTAATTATAAATTAAATTCGTTAAAATATTTAAATAATTATAATTGACCTAAGTGATATAATTGTACTTTTGAGCTAGCTTCAGGTTTTCCCATGATAACTATTTGACGCCATTTGTATTAATATATTTGATGTTTCTACCCCTGTTTGATCTACCAATTTCTTTAAAAATCCATTTGAATCCTGTAATAATTCATATGGATGACCGAATTCTACAGCTCGACCAGCATCCATTACCAACACTCTATCGCTATCCATTACAGTATGTAATCGATGTGCAATAGTTAAAACTGTACAATGTTCAAATTTTGTACGAATCGTCTTTTGTATCAATTTGTCAGTCCTAAAATTAAAAATTCATTTCATTAGTCAAACGATTTATAGCGACAAATATTTTTACGCTTACTCTGGATCAACATTAGCAGTAGCTTCATCTAAAATCAAAATTTTGTTTTGCCTCAGAATAGCCCTTGCCAAACAAACTAATTGTCGTTGTCCCATACTAAAATTAGAACCACCATCTGACATTCTGCAATTCAAACCATCAGTCATTGAAGAAACATACTCTTTTAGCTCTACTTCTTGTAATGCACTCCACAATTCAGCATCACTTGATTTTTCAAATGGATCCAAGTTATACCTTAAAGTGCCAGAAAACAGCACAGGATCTTGTGGGATTATTGATATTTTACTTCTTAAATCATGTAAACCTAATCGACTAATATCAATGTCATCAATTTTAATTTCACCTTCATTACAAGCTAGTCGAAATATTGATTGTATAATAGATGATTTTCCAGCACCTGTCCTTCCAACAATTCCGATTTTTTCTCGCGGTTGAATCTCAAAGTTCAAATTTTTTAAAATATATTCACCGTCGTCAGAATATTTCAATTTAAAATCTGAGAAAACTATTTTTCCATAAAGTGGCCAAGTTTCTTTAGGACGATTTTCAGCTGTACTTTCCAGTGGTGGTTCTGATTTTTCATTAACATACTCAAATATTCTTTCGACACTAGTCATTTGGTTTTCAAGTTCAGCTGTTTGTCTCATTCCCCATTGAACTGTGCCAACTAATGAGATACATTGAGTTATAGCGAGTCCAACATCACCACTATAAAATTGATCTTCAAGCAACAAGAAACTATAAGTAACTGTAGCAATATATATTACACAAAGAAAATCTAGCCACAAAGCAAAAGCTCTGGTTGTTGCTAAAAACAAATACCATGCCGATGTATTGTTGTTATTGTGCTCATAAAACTCTTTTATTAGCTCTTTCTGAGCACATAAGGCTCTAATTGTAGTTAACCCTTGAAAAGTTTGATTTGTATGTGAGTAAATAGGGCTTCGACCTACAAAATGTAAAAAATGATGTTGTAGTGTAGTAACAATTTAGAACAAAAATAGTAGTCTTACTCATGGACTCAATGCGTTTAATACTTCGACTGGTATTAATGTAAATGCATCTAAGAAAGTAAAAAAGAAATCCCATTAAAATGGCTGGTATTAAAAGCCAATAGTTTGCTACTGACACCATCACTAGAATTGCAAAAACATCAGTAAAGAACTGAAAGTTATAGAAATATACTGATTTACTAATCAAATCTTCGAGAATAATAAAATAAAAATACTTACTAACAGGCAATCAATCAGTGACATCGGTAAAGTAGTATCGACAGCGCTCATATCTTTCGAGAATCGATTTAGAATTCTTCCAGACGGATTCATATTGAAAAAATACATTGTAGCCCTAGTTACACCCATAAATAGTTTATCATGAAGTTTTAGTGAAATTCTCAAACACATAAAGAAAAACCCAAAAGTCCGAGTTATAAATAATATTAAAGTGGCACAAAGAAGACCTGAATAAATTATTACAAGATTTATTCTTTCCTTTTCCACCTGATCTGCTTCTGTTCCATTTTTTCCGAAGCCTTCACCTACAATGTCAAAAGTAAATTTTTCTACAGTACTTCCATTTTTCGCGACTTCTTCTTCCCAGATTACCCTGCAAAAACAAAAATACCTTTAAATACACTTTCTCGACTAAATTACATATAGTTTCGCTCTGAAAGAAACCCTTTTTTACCATCTGGAAATAAAATAATCCACAGCACTAAGTACAGCTCTCGCAAAAATAAATAGTAAAGCTACAGTTAAAAACCAACACAAATTATTTAGTGCCTTGAAGTATGATTTATACACATCAAATTTAACTGCTCCTATTTCCTGTTTCTCTTTCCGATTCTCTCCCTGATCATTTTCTTGAACACTTGTCAACCTCTGAATTAACTCAATTTTCTTTTCACTTTCACTTTTTGAACTAATAGATGAATGAATACTTTCTGTTTCTCCAGCTTCGTCATGAGCTTGAGTTAAAAAGCTGAATTCATTTAATTCTTTCAATGTCTTATAACTGCCTTTAGCTTGAATTTTCCCAGAATTAATTAAAACTAAATGTTGAACATTTTTTAAGTATTGTAATTGATGTGTAACTAAAATACATATTTTGTCCTTCAAAAATTCTTGAACACAGTTTTCAAAAATATGTTTTCCAACATGCGCATCCACAGCCGATAATGGGTCATCTAGCAAATAAATATCTGCTTTTCTATATACAGCGCGAGCTAAATTAACACGAGCCTTTTGTCCTCCACTTAAACTAATACCGCGTTCGCCAACTATAGTTGAATCACCATGTGGTAGTAAATCTAAATCTCTTTGTAAAGCGCAAACTTTAATCACATGTTTGTATCGTCTTTCATCATATTCTTCAATGAATACAATATTATCACGAATGGAACCTTCGAATAGCCACGGTTCCTGACAACAATAGCTCAATTTTCCATTAATTTTTAAATTTCCTTCCGTTAGTTCCATTTCTCCAAGAATAGCATTCAAAAGAGATGATTTTCCTGCACCTACAGAACCAACAATTGCAACTAAGCTTTTTTCCTTTATATCAATACTAATGTCGGATAAAGTTGTAGAATGGTTTGCTACTTCATTATCTGAACACCAAGATGCAAAAACTTTATCAAACAAAACACCTTTACTTTGAGATGTTTCATTAAACATTCTGTGACTTTGTCGAAAACCATTTAGCGACACTTCTTGTTTAGCAAATCCGTTGGAAGTATTCGTTTCGGAAATGTTTCCATTTTGTACTATTTTATCATTTTTGTCGGGCTTCATTTCATCACCTTCTAAAAGAAATTCTTTTACACGCTTTGCTGAAATATATCCCTCTGCACAAAATGTTATCGCCATGGGCCAAAAATGTACTAGAGAATCATTTAGTACAAAAAATATTGTTGAAATTATAAAAACTTTCTTAGCATTGATAGCTTCATCACTTAAATAAATATAAGAAATCAATGTTAAAAATATGGAAAATTTTGAAATCATTGCTGTTGTGGCTAAAGATGCATAGACCTTCATAGTTCCTCGAATAGCTTTAATTTCTTTTCTTCGTGTTTCACCGACAATATAGGCAAAAGACTTTTCCCAAGCATACATTTTTATAACTTGTATACCTTGAATTATTTCATTCATTAATTTAACTCTAAAATCAGTTCTTTTTGCGGTGCTTAAACGATATTGTGCAGCTTTTTTAGCACCCCATGCTTGTAATGGAATAAAACTCAACATAAAACCTATACCAATGACTGCTGATACACCCATTTGCAAATATGCTATATAACCAAGAAGTAACGCTTCTGCCGGTCCTTTCCATAAATCATGTATGAATCCTAAAGCTAAATCAAATTTTGCTAAATCATTTGATAAAATGGTAATGGCACGTGCACTTAAACCATCATTTGTTGCTGTTTTCGATATTTTTAAAATTTTATTGTATATTAATCCTGATAAAGCTAATCGAATTTTCGTTCCAATACGAAAAATTAGAAATATAAAGGGATGGAATGTTAAAACTGGCAATAATGATGATAATACTATTCCGGTTGCATATAAATACGCATCTCTTTTGGTCATTTTGTTTTCATCGTCACTTTGCGCAAAATAAGACACTAAAGCACCAAGGCAAATTGGTTGAGCAGCTCTGAAAGTTTTAAAAATTAATTTTAAATAGAAAAAACTTAAAAACAAATATTTGTACCTGGTTGCAGATTCTAAAAAAGCAAATAGTAGAGCATATACCATAAATGATGTGCCATAAGCACGAAAAATCATACGTATAACACTAGGATTTTTTCTTTTTAGTTCATCCTCCCATAATTTTGCGAACTTCTCTGTAACTTTTTCGCAGTCCAATGATGGAATACGTTCATATAATTCTTCTTCTTTTAACGGTCGACTAAAACCTTTCCGAAACAATTTACGAACCCACCTGAAAATTAAATTAATAAATTCTATAATAAGTTTGCAATATTAAATTTTTTAAACGATAAAAATAGACTTAATACTATAAAGACAATAAAAATTCATACAATTTTTAGTTAACTATGAAAACTATTTATAATAATTTTCTTTAGATTACTGTTTCTTAATTTGGTGTTTGGTATTTTTCGTAACCACATAAAGGTGAGGGAGTGTAATGTAAAAAGCTTAATAATCACATTCATTCTTTAAGACGCTTTGCAAGATTAGTAACACTATAAGACATTTTTCATGAAACGATAGACATTTTATGTCATTTTAGTTATACAGGTAATAATTATGATTTCTAAAATGTTCATTTAACTAGTTTGTACATACATAAATATGTTTAAATCTTATAGTTTTTGGTCTCATATTGCATACTTTTTGTACACAGAATAACAAATTGACAATAACAATTGAACAACATAACAACAATTATTATTGCTTACAGAAAATTTACAGAATAGCAAAGTTAATGTGAAGTGCGAAGTTATATGGTAGCAATTCACATTGCTTCAGTGATGTTTCTTGCAGAATGTATGTATTGTAACTCAATTCGTATAATAAATTTTTAATGTTAAAAGCATTTTATCCTCCCTCCAATTTATCGATGAAGTTGAAATATTTTTGTTACCCCTCTATTTCAACCAACTATTCTCATGTAATTAAGTAATTTCGTCCACAATCCATTTGATTGAACCTCAATAACAGAAACTTTATTAGACTACGTAAGTATATAAATTAAAAAACTTTTGAATTTTAGGGTCTAATTGTTTCTAAATAACCATGTAAAAAAGGTGAAGTTAACATTAGAAATAATTGCACAAAATGTAAACATTTTCAACTGACATGGTACTACATTTAATATTATAATTCCATTATTTCATGTGAATTATCTTAATTTAAAAACTAATAAACTTATCTGTAGTGGCATACTGCAAACTTAAAATTTATTATGAATTTTATTTTGTTTGCATTGACTATATTTTTCAACTACTATATGGCTTACTATTAAAAGAAAATGGTCTTCTTTAATTTACTCCAAATATTTGTACATAACTTTGTATGTAATTTTCATATATTTTTATATATATACATACATATACTAAGTAAATGACAACTTAATATGAAAATAAGAAAAATTGGTCATGTCAACTCTACGATACCCGTATGAACTTGTTAACCTATAAATGAACAACTATTAAAGTTATATGGCAGCTACCAGAATGAATCAAGAAATTTAAACGACTTTTATCACATATAGCGGCCTCGATGATACACTTTTACTATAGCTTCAATAATTTCTGATATAATACCAAATAATTTTTGAAGTTGCAGGGCAACTACTTGAACCAATGCCTCGAGCACATCAGTTTTAAATAGCTTCCCGATTTTTATTATTATAAATCATTTGTAAAAATTTTGTGAGCTTGGCTCAATTTGTTTTTGAGTTAGCGTTGGAACGGTTAGGTTAATTTATAACACCCTTCGAACATACGTTTGTTTCGTACGGGTACATATGAATAACGTATTGTAAGTAATTGCGAAAACATTTAATCATGAAAAGTTGTTACTACCCTTTCTCGTCAAAAAAAGTTTGGCAATCTATTTAAAACACACAAGTATGTATTAGTTATCACTAGTATGAATGAATGTATGTGTATATTTTTGAGAAGTAAGTATATATACATATATAAAGCAACTAATCTTTTGCAAATAAATTCAATTCTTGTTATTTCAATTTTGTCATCTACTTTATCTCTTATGCGAAAATTCAGTTCCTCACAACAACTACATATTAATAAGAATATAATAGCGGTACTAAAAATCCACAGTTTCTACTTAATAATAATCAAGAAAAAAAATTTAAAATTTCAAACAAAAAAAAAGGTAATCAGAAACAGGTGATTTCTTTTCATGCATTATTTTTAGCGAGAACAACTTTATTCGGCATATTTTTCAATAAAAAACTTTTATTGAATTTTTTTTCTTTTTGCTTGCAAAGCTTAAATAACCGGTCTAAAAGTAGGTCTTAGGGGATTTTATTTAACTTTTATTTTTAAATGTTTTTGCGCAAAACAAAAAACAACAAGAAACTGTGTGCGATTTGGTTTTTTTTTTTATTCTAAGGTCAGCATTAAGTACACGAATTGTGTTAATACTAAGAAATTTTTGACGTCATGAAAAAAATTACTCTATTACTTTTATAAATAAGATACAGTGTTATATCAGACCCTCCTCCACTAGCGCACTTAGATGGAATACTGACGAGTAATTCGACGCTGAAGATACTTATATGTTTATAGTTACAATTAATTTTCCCCAGTCTAAAAAATGTATCTAAACGCCATGCCAAAAATAATAGTAACCTTACAATATAACCACTACATTTAAAAACAGTTCATTTTACTTCCAAAGAGTACAAAACATATAATTAAAATATCTTTGCAAATGAAATATAATCACTATATTTACTTACTCGTAAAAAGATAAAAATCAACATGAAATTTAAATACATACTGTAAATCTTTGGCTTTATCTATATACATAATGCTATCAAAAAGCTTTAAGTCACTGTGCAGAATCGCCTACTATAGTGGAACAACTTAAAAAATAAATAAATAAATAAAATGTTGGCAGTTTTTAGTTTTATAATATGATAAGTATTGCAATTTTCTAAAAGCACTGTATGTTATTGACACGATTTTTTTTTCGCTTACTTAATTTTACCGCAAACACCACACTAACTTATTTCTATACCGGAATATTTGAGTTAAAGAACTTTGTACAATCTTAGTTAAATATTCATATTAACCATTATTGTTATTGTGAGCTAAATATTCATAATTCATTTTCGTAAAATTCTTAGAGCAACAGAAAAAGGAAAAAATTTTATGTTTTTTTGAATTTGCAAAAATAACTCAAATTTTACACATTTGAGAAAAAGGCAATCTTAAAATTTTGAAGTTAATACTATTTTCTTGTTACAGCGTTATTTTATATTTTATTGTAAGTGAGAAATTTCAAACTAGAGAAATGATGTTTTTGAACACAAAATAAATGTTTTAGGCGACTATTTCTATGTAAATTTTTGAATTATGCCACAGTAAATGACCGAATTATCTAAGCCATTTAAGGAAATATAAAGAATTTTTTGATTTTGTACATTTCAAATAGCAAATACTATTGTGCTAACTGTTGGTTATTTTTTAATTTTCATTATTTATTAATTTTAAATATACTTATAAGGGTGTAACAACTTTAATGGGAAAATTTTTTAAGATTACCGTTTGATACTATTAAAATTACAATTTAAAATTGCAGTAATTATTAAGTACACCATTCTCGATAAACTTCTGTTATAAGATATATGGTAAAGGTTCTTAATATTAGACGATATACCTGTAAATTTTGGCAATTTAATAATATCATTGAAAATATATTAAAACGTTTATTGGATGCGTATTATTATGAACAATTGTGAAAGACGACAAAATTAATTGTGAATTTGATGAAATTCAATTCAAAGACGGAATTTCTTAATTCTCGATACTTATACATATTAAATATGCAAGTGAAAAAAAAAAAAATTAAATATGTTAATTACTTAATTATTGCACTATGCGTACATGTAATAATTCAATTCAAAGTTCTTATCTTGCCTTATTTTATATTAATAAAATAAAACTCAAGGGAAGGCAAAATTCTCAATCTTTATCATTAAACTACCTACTTAATGCAAATAATACAACCCTTAATAGATACGAGTAATAAATTAATTGTAAAATTATCATTTTTCTAAGGTTGATGAAAAAAATTTCATTTTTTGCTATTCTACTTATCACGAATCTAATATTTACTTATATCATGTATAGTCTTTGTAAAACCATAAGAAATCAATTAAACTTAAATTTATTGAGCTAATGAATTTGAAAAGTGTATAAGTATATTGTAAAAATGATATTTTTTTATTGAAGATCACCCGGTCGAAAGGATTTCAATGCTAATACAAAGATAACGCCACTATCGGTATTAGTTAATTATTATTAGTATAGCAATCACTCAAAATTGAAAAATTTGAAAAACAGCATCTTCTACGAAAATTAAATAACTTAAACATTTAAAAAAACTGACGTTTATTTGATACAGTCTAAAATGTTTTTTCAGTTCCTCTTCATGTCCTCTTATTTCTAATTATTTTCTGGCCCTATTTATTCTATCCTATATCTTTTCTACAAATATTCCAAAAGACGGAACTTAGCTTTTCTATATATTGATTAATTAAGTAAAAAACAATCTTTTATTTATTAAGAAATTTTTCCTGTTGATTTTCTTCACATAGAAAACAATTTTTTAAATTCAATTTAAGGGCAATTTTAAATTTTGTTCAACGAAAACAAATAAAATTTGTTGAAACGACAGTAGAGACACTTTTTTTCGCGATGTTCATTAAGGAAATAGAAAATCAAGAAAAATCATAAGAAATGCCGAATTTTTTTGACTACGTTACTTATTTATCTTTTTTTATTGTACTTAATCAAAGTTTTATCACAATTAATCAAAGACAAGGTGTCCAAGATTCAATAGGGCTCACGGAGTAGAGTAATAGAATGCTTTTAGACGAACAAAAAGCACGAACTGACATTTTGATTTTTGCACCCTTATTCTCGTGTTATGAAACCTCAAAATTGGAATTTCTCAAAACCGTCTAACTTTTACTGACAACTGCATTTTTCAAAAATTGTAATTTTGAAGTCTCATAACTCGAAAAAATGGGTTCAAATCAAAATGTCATTAATACTCGTAGGCGTTACTCGTTCGTCTGAAGGCATTCTGCGAGAGTACTGTTGAATTTCCGGACACCCTGTGTATCAAAAATAATATTAAAAAAAACCTTTCTAATTATGATTTTTTATCTTTCCAATTGATTGATTGGATAAAAAAAACATTTCTTAAGTTAAATAAAAATATTATAAAAAAATTAATCAAACTAAATTTAACATAATAAATACTATGTTAACGCCTTAATAACTTCATTAACAATCTTATCGAAATTCAAATTCTTTTTTCAAGGTAATTTCAAATCTTTTATTGCTAAGTACAAATTTGTTGAAAATAATGTCAATTAAATTTTGTGTCCGTTTGATTAATTGTAATTTATTTGATATACAAAATGGAATACTTAGATAAATATCTTTTTTTGATTTATGCAAGTGCACATAATATATATTTGTACTTGTGTACATGCAGGGAAGCATTTCTATTATAAGCATAAGTGTAGGAAAGTAGTAGGAATATTTTGTTGTCATTAATTTTTATATCGTAAAAACCTTTATTTCTTTGTAAAAAAATTTCTTTTTATTTGGGTCCGAATTTTATGAGCACTTTGAAATTTTTTGTATTCTTGTGCCTAAGTATTAGAATTCAAAATGTAAGTCCTTCAAAAAACTTAAGCCTTAGCATAGCACTTTTTTTACTATTATTAAAATTTATAGCAGCAGCATTTATAAATTATTGATTAATTAACTAACATAAACGACTGGTTACATACATGGACAATTCAATTAGTTTTATTTTCTTAATAAAATCCACTACCCATTCAGCCATCCCACTACCAAATTAGCGACTATGGTATGCAAAAGGTTAAAAACAAATAAACATCTTAGTAACGCATTAAGCCAAAAATTTCCTATACATATAACAGTTTAAATTGTAATTTACAATTACGAACCGTATAATTTTAAATGACGTTTAACATTTATTAATCTTCATGATTTTTAAAGTATGTACTCAAGAAATAAATTCTTAAAACAATCATAATTATTTTTATTAATGGAATAAGCATTTTATTAAAAAGTACCGAATCACATTTTAATTTTCTGTAATGTTTTTATTTTTGTTTTTCTTGTTCAAATATGATGAATAATATTGGGGTTTTTTTTTATTTTCGTAGAACAGATAGGTATTTAAATATCTGCATCGAATTTTAAGTATACGAAAATTTCGTTAAACATTAATTAACAGTTAAGAAAAATAATAAAGTTGGGTAAAACCAATGGTATGTAAAGTAGAACTTTTCCCGAAATATCTGCTGTTCAAAATATTCCACTACATTATTTAAAATACTTTCATTTATATGTATGTATGTCAAAATATTTCAAATGATTGCATACATTTAGGATGAAACAAGAAAAAAAATTGAAAGTGGCATTAACATAATGTTCCAATTCAAGGACTTGCTTCATTTTTTGCTTGATTTTTTGATGGTACGATATTTGCCGTTAGCATTATGTCTTTTAACAAATTCGAAAAAGCTTGAAGTATTAAGCGCCAAAAAATTTAATTTTACAAATTTCGCGATACGACCACGTGAGTGGGATCTAGATCTATCTATTTTGTTGGTTTTTTTGTAGTTTCTTTACAATAGATAATCAAAAAAAAATGAAATTATTAAGACTTTGAGGGCCTTAAGAGATGATACAAATTTCCTGCTGCAGACACACAACGACGTTCTAAGAGAGTGACACTAATAAGAACTCTTTTTCAGAATTTTGTTGGAAAAGTGCTAAAAAGAAAATAAAGCTTAACTGATAAAAATAAATTGTTTTTTAATTCATCACTTCGTTACAAACAAAATATTTCTGTCTTAATAATTAATTTTAATTAAAAATATTGTCATCTGATTCCATTAATATTCATACCAAATAATTCTATAGAAAAAAGTTATGTTTACACATATCAGCTTTATTTTATATACCAGTCCAATTACAAAGTATTCAATTTCTACGAAAATATTAAAAAGTTATGTTTCATACAGCGTCAAATTAAATTGTCCAATAATATTCTCAAGAATATGAAAACAATAATATAATATAATATGAATATACTGAATACTGATCAGTGATATCATATACGCTAGACTCATTTAAAATACTTTAACAAATGAAAATGTTATAGATATTAAGTGTATATGTACATAAACTCTTATACTTATACAATATAATAAACATTGATAAATATTTTTAAATTTAAATATTTATTAAATTAAACAAAATAATTTAAAAGCTCATAATGAAAATATTTTAGAAGAAAGTCAATTACTTAATAGTGATGAAATAGAAATTTTTTTTTAGGAATAAGAAATTGAAAATACTTAATATTTGCTCTCTTTGAGAGAAATACTTTGCAATATTATGTGCCTACATAATATAAGAGACCTTATTAACCTTCGGAAATACAAGAGTATAATAAAAATATTAATCTAATCAAAATTCTTAAGTGTCAAATTCTATCATATCTTTAAAAAAATCGAAAAATATCATTAGATTAAAGTATATTATGTACTGCATAAATATTGTATATAATTCAATAATATTGAAGTATAACACTTAATTTATAGCTTAAGCAACTCATATCTCTTAATAAAAAAATATTCTTAATATTTTGAAACTTTATTATTAATTCATTTCCAAAATTCTTAAACGAATGAAGTTAATGTAAAAGGAAATATTAAGAACAGAACACAATTTCTTAAAAATTAATTAAAATTATTATTGATTGAAATTTGTTTATTAACTAACAACTACAATATTGTTACAGAATATCGGAATATGACTTATTTCTTTCTAATTACTATTGGAAGTGAGAACTTATTATCACCTCAAAATTAAAGTTTGGGACCTTGTTTTTAATTGTTTTGATAATTTTAAAACAAGTGTACAGAACAAGTTAGGTAACGATCTACATTTTAAATTTGGCAATATTTGACAATTTTATAAAAATATTTCTGTTATACTAGTTTAAGAAGAAATAGATAATTCTGTTATAAGTACTAGTTTTTAATAAAAATTAATACTTAAGTACTTATTTAAACTATTTTTTAAAACTTGTAAAGTATTTAAGTAATTGAACTTACCAAAAAGTCCATTTTGATAGAAAATTGGCATCATTTACTGGATTTTTTTCTTTTTCAATAGTTTTCTTTGTTCTATTCATATTAAGTATTTAATTTATAAAATTTGAAAAAAAATTGCAAATGTAAGTATAAATTTATGCTTTACGTATGTACTTTATCTAAAGAAATTTTGTATGATTTACAATACAAATTATCTCGTGCCAAAAAAAATTCCTTTCTTCCTTCTTTTCTCTCTTCTGCTGAACGTTGTTATCTTCCTTTTTCCACTTTTTTCTATTTTTTTTTTTTAATTTTTAATAATAAATATTTTTTTTAACTGTGTTTATACGTATTAATTATTAAATTTTATTAGGTAAGTAATTATGCATGTATGTGCTTAGAAAAATATGAGGTTATGTATTTGCACACTCAGTACGTCGTGAATAAGTATAACAATTTAATTATTTAATTGATTAATATTATTAATAATTATTAAGTAGACAAGATTATTTTAATTTCGAATAAATTTTTTTTCTTATTTTATAACAAAATTTTTTATTAAATTTTAATATTATAATTTTATTTTCAGGTACACAAATAATTATATTTACAATTAATTTTCATATTTGCCATCCGGTCTATTTGAATGTGTATGTACATATAAAACGAACTTTAAATTAAAAATTGCACAAAAATTTCGCAAATATAGATCACGGTACTCCCGAATACACATGTACGGACAAAAAAAAATCGAAAAAAAAAAAATTATAAAGAAAAATCAATAAATTTCGTCAAAATTTTCTAAAATCAAAGTTCAAATTATAAAACACAACATAAAAATAATATTGTTGGAACAGTTAATGTTATGAAAATAGCTGGTACAAAAAATATAAAAATTTATTTTCCTACTCTTTTTCTTTTTTTTTTTTGTAATTAATTCATCAAACTTTAGCGAAACGAACGAACAACAATACTAAATATATTTCTTAAATTATCATTCATTTAAATACAAAAAATTCTCTCTCTTGCTCTTTAAATTCTATTATTAAAACAGAAAATAATAAAAAATTAGCACTTCTTTTACTCATTTCAAATTCTGTTATAATTTTTTTTTTTCATTATTTTTGCTATCTTTTAAAAATAATAAAAAAAAATATGTTAAACACTCATACTCTACGTCACTATTTTATTCTTTTACTAAATTCTATCTACTTATAGTTATATAGCATACGTATGTTATATATGCATTAATAAATAATAAATATTGAACTTAAGCACGCTTCAGACACATTTCATTTATTTAATATTAATTTAAATATAAAAATACTTTAAGCTCTGTTACTATGTTTATTTGGAATTACCACCCATATTTCGCAATATGAGAAATCTTATTAATAAAAAAAATAACATAAAGCTCATAAATTTATATTCTCAAAATTTATGCATACACAAACATATGTATACATATGTACCTATATGCGCATATACATAAGTACATATGTATATACATAATAATTTTTATGATTGAAATGTAGAATTTACACACATTTAATTTTAAAAAATATTTAAATGTAAACAATATTCTAAAGCTTATTAAAAAACAAAAATATTTGTTATACACAAATAAAAAAAAAACACTTGAGAATGTCACTGCCTATAAATACAAGAGAATCAAATATGAGTGATTCACTCTATAACGATAAGATAGATACTGATTTTCTTTTCATTTGTAGAGTAAACTACACATTAAAGAAATCAACTACATATTTGAATAAAAATAATTAAATTTAACAACTATAGGATACCTAAGAAAACTTGCCAATTCATAAATGCATAAAAAAAAGAATTATGTACAATATTTATGAATTAAAATACAGATTGTATAGGAGGTTATACGAAATGTAATTTCAATGAAGTAACTTGCTAAATTGAATTTTATAAAACATATAATTTCTTATAGTCTTTGAGCTCTTTTTTAGTTCACGTGAAACTATAAGTATATTACTTTAAACAAATTTACATACACATACCAAATCTTTGTTTTACCATTACAACGAGTTTATAAACGAATTGAAACAAAAGTTCAAATTGTAAATATTTTCAAGTTAATTAAGAATTGGTACTAGGCGGACCTTAGTCTATTTTTGTGAAGCTCCCGATTCACTAATTTTTCCTATTTAAGTCGTACTCAAAATTTTTTTTCTAATGTTAATGTTTCTACTGTTTCATTGTACAATTCATTCATTCAATTCAAGACCTATTTGCTGACTTAAAACCAACTTAAAAATTAGCCCTGCCTTATTACTTTTTTAATAAACTTCATTTAAAAAGACAATTAAATTAATATCAATTTCAAAAAACTATCGTAGTTTTCTCGATCTTAATTAAATAATATGGAACTTCTTCTGATAAAACGTACCTATGATCTTATAATATACTGTCATAATCTGGGACATAAATTAATTAATTTCAATTGTAGTATAAAGCACATGCATACATATATAAAGAGCCTGATCGTGTATCTCGCTATTTAACTCGCCAAGTGAGAAGAAAGTGAGTAACTATCATATATAAAGAGTAATCTTATTGGAAAATATCCATTTGAAAAACGAAGAATTCTGATTGAAAGTGAATAAAAAGTGAGATGAAAAAGCGGGACACAATTTGATTTATAATTTCGTTAACAAATAGTTTTTATCATAATAAATTTTTTACAGTTATCACACTCTGATTATAAGCCGGATATATGCGAATGTGTTTCCGTCTCAAAAACTGTTAAACCATATGAAAAATATTTCGTATCAAGAATATGAAGAACAATTTTATATATCAGGGTTGTACAAGTTGTACACAAAAGAAATATCAGATTAAGAATACAATTATTTATGATATAGCACCAGCTACTATGTGGTATCGGTGTGTCAAGGTAAAGAGCAAAATATGATAAAGAACACAAGCTCACACATACATATATAAATATATATATTTATGTATGCCTGAATTTAGATTTTTCAATGCCTTTTCTCTTTAAAATATTTATATGTACTCATGTTTGTCTCATTTCATAGTTACGTTGTTTTGTTGCATATGATTTTATTTTGCTAAGTTTACAAAATACGCATGTATATGAAATACAAAAGTGACATAATCTGCAACCATATGTTTCATTCCTTTATTTTTTTTTATTTTCATTTGTCGCGTGTACACTATTTTAACATATGTTCTAAGTTTTAGTATATACATATTATTGCACTTAGTTATTTTTTTCCTCTTCTCTTTAAATAAGCAGAAATGACACAGCTGATTACATTAAGAATAATATAATATGATAAACAATTGCTATTACAGGAATATAGGAACCCTAATAAAAACCTTCATATTGTGAATTTATATCGTATTGTGAATTGGGAGATGATTTCTGTTACACACGTTTGTTTCGTATCTGTGTGGATAAATTCTTGTAATAACAGAAATATTTTATTTAGAATTCCATTTAAAATTTACTTTCTTCCACAACTTTTAAAATAGTAAAAAATTGTTTGTTATACGAAAATTTATATAACAATACCTACAAGAATTTTTATACAAATTTTTCCACAGAATTCTTTAATCCAGACTTATTTCACTGCTCCATACTGTGCACCATTAAAAGAAAAGAGTAGTTATATAAATAAATGATAGCTCACTACTTAATTTAGTTTAATTCACATAGTTCTGTAAACGGTCCCATAAACATTTATGCCTATATTTTAAAGATTTAAAATAAACGTGTTGTAAATATCATGGATCATAATTTCCTATTAAATGCATACGAGAACTTACTTAAGAGCAGCACCTAGCCCTTGAGTTGAATTGAATCTGAGTTACATCTGTTTGAATTTTAATTGAATGTGTTTATCATAAACAATATTAATTAATTATAAACATAATATGCGAATTCAGAATGCAGAAATTAGTGAAAAGCTTATTTCTATATAGTTGCGTTAATTAACATTAACATCAATAGAATATTGCAAGTCTAAAATAATTACTAATAAAAAAATATTTTCCAAAATACACTATAAAAATAAATTAAAACTTATCAAAAGGCTTTCTTTTTATTGCTTACCCACTTAAAATTCTTGGAATTTTGAACCTTCAATCAAGAAACCTCTTTTACTAAAGATCTTGACGCCGTTTATATTTCATAATTTTGGCTAATGTCATTGCTGCTTTTTTATCAATATAAAATAATAATAATTATGTACAAGTATTTACGCACACTGATATACATCGCCATTATACCAAATTTATTGATAACAATATTATATTTAAAAGAGAAATATCTACATACTTGAATAGCATGCCATGCTATTTTTCCCAAAAAGATTATGGTTAATAATCATAATTATTTTGGTGAGACTTTCGAAGTATTAAAAAAATTTATAGCAGATGGCAATTGTTGAGAATTAACAAAATACATAGAAATATTCAAAATATTAATTAAAAAATATTTATATTTACTTATTTTACAAAATCATATATTGTATTATATTTAAATTTAATAAAATTCATCTATTATGTAATGAATTCGTTATAAGTTAAATTAATTTAAAGTTATTCAAAAATATTTTGTTTTAAAGATATAATATGTATGTATGTCATAATGCAATTTTAAGTTGTATTGTACTATATTATAATTATTCACAATTGATTACATATATGCATATTACAACTTTTTAAAAACATATTATAATAGTTTTCAAAACAATATGTATTTCTTTATATAAAACAAAAAATTAATATAATTCATATTTATCTAAGAAAACTATAAAAGAAAAAAGAACTGATAAAGCTTTTAAGTGAAAACGAATAATACCTTCAGTCATCACTATCATCACTTTCAAAATCATGGTCATCTTCCTCATTGCTATCATCAAGTGGTGGATCCCAATAATGTAATTGTTTTCTCCAAATTTTTATTAGTCCATCAAAAGCTCGCCTGCTATATTTAGCATGTATATTGGGAGTACGCGGATGATCCTTCGTTCTTTTAGATCTAAAAGTACAATTATTGCATTTTATTGCATGCATATACAATTTTATTTTATTTTATTGTATAATAAAATTGTATATTAAATTTTAAAAATAGGTGCAATAATATATTGATAAACATATGATTAAAAAATAAACATACTTTGGAATTTCTGATATATAACGATCATAAGCTATCGTATTTTTGCCATAATCAACTTGTTTTTGACGTCTGGCTAAAACGACTGGATCCGTTTCATATTTAGAGCTATTAGAAGAATTTGTGGTTGAACTGCTACAGCTATTATATCTTTGCCTTTTATTACAATCATAATGGGGTTTATTATTATCCTTTAATCCATTTTCTTCAGGACTGTTTGAATTGCTTTCTTCCATTGGAGACCCAGAATTTCTTCTTTTAAATGGAGTTTTTAATTTCTCTTCTTTCACAAGTCTTTCAAATTTTTGTTCGTTAGCACTATCTATAAAACACCAAATGAAATTTTTTTATTAATTTAAAATTCTTATCAAAATTTTGGATTCAAAATTAAGTTGGTAAGTCAAGAAATATATTTCCAAATGAAAAGTTAACTTAATTTTACCTATGAAATCTAAAGATATTTCACGTTCTGATGATTCCTCCCTTTTTCCTTTTTTTATATCCTCTAATTTAAATGTTTTTTGAATATTAGCAGCGTCATAGGAAATATTTACAACATCTTCATATTTCAAAGATTCCGAAGAGTTTTCTTCTTTAATAAAAATTGATTTTTTAGCCTGAAAATTAAGTTAAATTGTCAATGCTTCCTTAAACAAATAAATGTAAATTTTTGTAAAATATACAGCCGTATTCTCAAAGATGCGTAACTTATTATTCGAAAGAAGAGTTTTCCAGTATATAATCATGGATTATAAAATTCATTAAAACTAGAAAAGTGCTACTAGTTCAAGTTTTGAAAATATGGTTGATATTTTAACAATTTTCTCGTAGTTACCTCAAACTCAACTTCTTCAGACCATTTCATTTTTTTCCCCTCAGATTTCATTGGTGACTCCATTTTAATATCTAAAATCATTAAGCATTAAAATTTTTTGCAATTTCTTCAAATCAATATAGTATCTACCGCTAAAAACATTCATTTTATCAAAATTACAATATACATGTACGAGCGTGTATACAAATTAAATATTTTTATATAACAAATTTTAAAAATATTTAATTAAAGAGCTTTAACAGAAAACTTTCATTGTATCTAAAATTCTTTGGTATACCGAAACAACTTTTAAATCCTTTATATTTTTTGAGTTGTTAAACAAAATTTCACACACGAACTTCGAAAGTATTATTTGAGAATTGTCAGATGACCCGCCACTTATTTGTTTTTGTTTGAATTTATCTTCAGGTGCTGCCAGTGATGAAAGTATAGTACTAAATTTTAGTAGTATCGATGCAAGGTTGCCAAAGATATTTCACAAAATTTTCTAGACAAATTTGTCAATAAAATATTCATAATATATTATGAGATGACAAAGAGGGTATCTAAAGAGGCACGTGATAAGAGTAATAGCAACTCGATGCAAATGTGTTTTTGAAGAAATTAATTTATTTGTTTTTACACTATATATACAGATTAATGAAACGCTGTCAGAGAAGTATATTTGATGCTTTTTAAAATTTAAAAAACGGACATATTCCAATTATATGTAGTTATTTCAAATATCTGGACTCATCAAATATTGTTTGCTGATTTTGTTTGACGCGCATATATTTGTGCTGTCAAATAAAATTAACGTGTCAAGCCAATTGCAAAAATATGCCTTTAAATCTTTAATAATTGTCATAATGTAAATGAAAATCAACAAAAATATGTTTAATTAGGCTTTTATTTTCCAACTTTTTAAATTTCGCTTTTCTAGTTAAACTTGTAAATATTGAAAAAAATACCTGTGATTCTTAAAATCTCATCAATATCAGTGATTATGCATTGTTTTAGAGCAATTTATGCTCTTTTTTTAGAATGGTTCTCAACTTTTCTCCACCACCGTTATCCAAGAAAGGGAAGCCTATGTCAACTTTAATTTACTGTTGTAGTTCCCGATTACTACTTGTTGTTTGTCCTATATTTTCTGCGGAAATCATAATGCAGTTGTGTGTAAACAATCCAAAGAAAGTGTTTTTTACGAGCTACTGGCAGTATTTATTTTGGCTAAGTTTTTTAACTTTTCTTTGGGATTGTCATTTGAAGACTTAAATTTAGACGAATTGACATTTATAAATTCGGAAATCGGAATAACTGTCAAGTTATTGGTAAATTTAGTTTAGGACTCTATTTAGTTGTTTCGTTACTGAATTCTAAGATTGTTTTTCAACATTGTCATTAAATTATTTCAATAATTTAATAACCAATTTATCAGATGTATTCAACAATAAAAGATTTTTGAAAGCTCAGTGATTCTTGTAAATAAAATTTCATGAAAGTTCTATATTCCATAAATTATGCAAAAAGACTGATATTTTAATTTACAATTTTTGAGATTTTTTTAATTTGAGTATATTTGCATTAATACTACAACATTTCAATTCTTTTTCAGGTCTGTTTTCTATCTTTTAATTCGTTTCCTATCTCTAATAGCAGAATCCATTCCAATATAGCAAAAACGCACAATTCACACTTATACAATTGCATTTGTTTTTCAATGTAGAACATTCATGCACAATCTAAAAGTTATTGTAAGATGAATATCAAAGATGGTAATAAAATTGAATGGTTCTTTGCAAGCTTAAATTAAGAAATTTTGAAGACACAAGCACTACAGGCAAGGAATGCAATCTTGAAATCAAAACAGCACTATAATGCGGAATAATTTTAAACTATCAAAAAAGAGTAGTATGTAGTTATATGTAAACAAGTAATTTTACAATTAAATAACGTCAAAACATAAATATAAGTTTTGCTTTTTTATTAATTTTTCCAATTTTGTCTTGTTGGTTAACTCAATTATTTCTTTTCACTTTGCTTTTGGGACGTGATATTTAATATTAATATTACAACCCTTCCTTATAATGAAAAAATGCGTAGTCTTCTTAAAATATGCAATTTACATTTACATATATTCAGTTAAGAACTCCTTAAAATCACAATAAATAACGAAAAATATGTATGTGCTTTTAGAATCTTTTTATAAACATATTTGGAATATAAAATTAAAAATATAAATTTATGCAAAAATACAGATGTTTAATTTACTAAACGTAAATCAAGAAATCTACATCTTACTTTAAATAAGACTACTGCAAAATTTTCTTCCCAGCTTACGAAATCGCAGAACTATCGATATTTGTTCTATTTTTGTAAATTTATAAAACTTTTAATTAAATGCTTTAATATTTATTATTCAACAATGTATCAGTTTGATAATATATATAAAATATTCAATTATTTTAATCCGTTAATTTACAAATTCCTCGAGTTTTGACGCACATTTCAGCGAAACTTTTTCGTAAGTATTCTCTTAACTCTGCTCGTTCCTGTTTTACTTTACCTTCTCTACATTTAAACTCCATCAAAACTTCATCTGGAATGTAACACTTTTTCTCTTCATCGTCTTCTTCTTCCAAATCGTTAAATGAATCCTAAAATTTAAATAAATCAATTAACAGTTCGCTTAATACAGGGATGGCAAATAGGGTTTGATCAAAGTGCCAAAATTTGGGGAAATTTATTGTCACACTTTTTCCCGTGCCAGCATAGTACCAAGTACAGGTATGGTTAGGTAAATACAATATTATGACAAGTTGTAATAATATTTATTTATACATATTATATTTCAAGGTATAAAAATTAATAAATACAGATAGAAAAAATATTAATTTAATTTTTTATCAGAAACTTTTTGTTTCATATTACTTGCAAGAGTTTTTATGTCGGGCTGGTACATTGTTGACTGCAGAGTAATACATGCTGCCGAATCTTCCTCTGTTAATCTGTTTCTAGTCTTTGAATGTACATGATTCAAAACGGAAAAAAGACTTTCGCAAGAAATTCTCAATATGTCAAATTACTGGCAGCAAAATTTTCTTGCAAGTTGAAGTGAAAAAAAAACAAAAATAAAAAGAATATAACATTTGAATATGTTTGGTTTTGAATATTTGTCATTTCACTATTAGGAAATTATCATTTTTAGGAAATTTTTCATTCAATCAATTTTTCAACGAGTTTTTAGATTTTTTATTAGAAAAAAAATCTATATAAAAATTTGTCGAGGCACAACTATAACGTGCCATCAAATTTTTTTTCCGTGCCAAGTTTGGCACGCGTGCCCTTTAATTGCCATCCATGGCTTAATACATTAAAATTTTCTATGAACTTACCAACATCTGTTCTAAAGAAAGCGGATTTGAAACGGAACACAGACTGTTATTGATATGAACATTGATGTTACTTTTCCCATTTGATATTTTAATGTTATTACAGTTTTTATTATTGTTGTTATTTGAAAATATGTATTGTCGATTAACGCCATTGCAAGTTCCAAGATCACTGCCACTGATTTTGTCACTTTTATTTCGATGATTATGATTACAAAAGTCATCACTACAAGATACTTCAGAACCCTCTAATGAGCTTCCAACACTAGATGTTCTAGAATTAAGTTGCGAAGGATCTGAACTATAGCCACCATCTATAGATTTTGTGTAAATTTCTTCACCAACTTTTTCGCATGGGCAATTATTATTTTTTTCTTTCAATGGCTTGTTATGATTTTTATCTGTTAGTTTTTTTGCTATATATTTAGATTTTTCTTTAACATTAGCATCACATTTCGCTTCATTTTCTTGAACATCATCATCATCTTCATCATCGTGATCGTGATCGTCACCGTCTCGATCAGGATCCCCTTCTGCATCGTCATCATGATCAGCCTCACCATCAGATGTTGCAGCTGTTACTACAGCTGTACATATGCCTAATTTATTTTTCTTTTCAATCTTCTTCCTCTTTTTTTTAAGTTTACGTTGTTCACGTTTCAACTCTTTTGCTTTTTCGGCTCTGCTTATTTCTTGGTAGCACAGCTCTAAGTTGCTGATTCCTTGTTTACTTTCTACAGCACTGTTAAAACTTCGGCTAAGGGCATGTACTCCAACTGCTGCTAATACCTGACAAGCACGTTCCTCTTCACGAAGACTAACGTATATCTTTTTAAGTCTTTCATATACAATCATTCCGATGCATGTTAAAATTTCTTTTTGGGCGACTTCTAAAGTTTTTGCGTGGCGTTCTCTTTGTTTCAAATAACTTTCAGAAAATAAAAAAAGAAATATTAAAAATAAAAATATTTACTTCTCATTTCAATACACATGTGTGTGTACCTACCTATGTAGGTATCTACATATTTTTTTCTTATTTTTTTAGAAAAGTTGTGTACATATAAAAATTACTAGGGGTTAGGTAAATCATATAGGTCGAAAAACTTATTATTTAACAATAGTATATATTCTAATTATAGTCTATATTCTAATTACAATAGTAGTTTTTAAAACTCAACTTTTCATAATGAAATTGTCACTTTAAAATTATGTTGGATAGATTCAATGAAATTACGTGTGATAAGAGAGTAAAGAAACAATCACAAAATAAGGAATATTAATTATTTTCAATTCATCTTACCTGCCGTTAATCTCAGTTTCAGCTTTTTGAATTAACATATCTATGAAATCGAATCTAGTTTCAATATGAATGTGATTATCAGCTAGACATTTTTTAATATTTGAATATAGTGCTGCAACATATCCTTTTTCTTTGGAACTTGAGTCGCTTACCAAAATGTTGTATGCTTTTTCAACCTTTAAAAAAATATACAAATATGTAGATAAGATAATATAAATATGTTATAAATTTTCTACTTTGGTTTTGCACTCTTGGCAGAACTTGTGTTTTTTTAGATATTCATCTAATACGTCATAAAGCTCTTGTGTCTCTATTACGGTTAATTCTTCGCGACATCTCTGTTTCATTGCAGTCCATATTTCACGCCATGATTCCGAAAACAGTTTTGATCTCAACGCGTCTCTTGAATGTAGAATACATCGAGTTGTATTTCGATTTTTAATTTTATTTTCCATAACATTATCCAATATTTCCTTATGTTTATATAGTACAGTTCCCAATAATTGAGGGGTTTTCGTTTTATCTTCAATTAATGTAAGTACCCCATCACTGATAACTAAAGGATCTAATGTTGGATACTTCGATTCAGAAAGTTGTAAAAATAAATTTTCCACACTGCGACGGCATCCAACACATTGAACATTTTGTCGTAATACAAATAATATATCCTTTTCACGCACTTGCAATGAATTTTTAAGTTCTGGATAAGATAATATATTATACTTTCTCATAAACTCGTCCAATTCTTTTCCCTTTATCATAGGACAATCAATCACTAGTCCTTTGCTATTGAGGTCCATTAACATCTAATTTGAGATAAATTAAATATTTGTATTTTAAAGCAAAATTAAAAAGAAAATATTAAGTATATTAAAAAACGCAATTGAATAAAAAATTATATATCAGTTGAAAAAAAAAGAAAAAACCTTCAGAAAAAAAACCAATGAAAAAGAAAAAGTAGGTGAAACAATATGGAAACCTTACCATCATATTTTCCCCAGTGGATAAAGGGAGTTGTCTTCTCTCTATCTTTGAACGAGCTGTATCGTCTGCACGATAAACGTTTATTAATTTTGCCATTTCTTATGAATGCACTGGAAATAATTTCAATTTTTTATTTGATTGATAAGTTATTTAATTAAATAAAATAAATGTACGACTTTTTAGGAAGTACGGGACAACCAGACAAAAAATGACATAAATGTGTGAGTTAGACAGACCTACAAACAAAACAACGTCATCCTTTAGCACTAACTAAATGAAAGTTTATTGGGTATAATAGTGAATATTTTTAATTTTCTACTCTATTTCTAAATTAAGGTTTAGAATCAATTATTACTTTAAATAACTTTAAGACTGAGGAAGCTTGTCGAGTGGATTTAAAAATTATGTCCATATTGTCGTCAAATTATAGTCAATTAGCTATGTGAATCTGAATTATGCCGAATGTCCATGAATTTCATAAAATTTTTCTTTACTAAGTTGTCAAGAATAGTTAGACCTTCCAACTTCTAATTTATTCTAGACTTATAGCTAATAGTAAGAAGGACGATATATAATTTAATATATTTAGATTTTAGATTTCTTTAAATTTCTTTATTATTTTTGAGAGTAATTTAAAAAAAAAAGGTTCTTTCATAAATCTAATTTAAAAAAAAAAATATTTTATTAAACTAATGAAAGAAGTTTTTTTAAAATTACTCCCAAAATTTTGATTAATTTTCGTACGAATTTTCTCATATTTCTCTATATGTAAACTAACAGTAAGTTAGGAAGTTATGGGACCCGTAACAATATAAACCGTAACAACCATAAATATTAACAATTATTAACCTAATATAATTTAAGCTAATATAGATAATATTAATCAGTGCTCGAAGTGAGGCGGAATGGAGTGGGGTGCCATCCCAGTACTTTTAAATAATTGGAAATCCATCCCACTACTTAATAGGAGGGAAAAATGCGTTCCGGAACATGTTTTTTAAAATTTAAGAAAATTTTCTAATGAATTTTAAAAATTTTTTTAACAAAAAATTAAATATATGTAATTAAAATAAGACCAATTTCAAATAGTAACGTATAATTTTTTTCTATTAATGAAATTTTCGTTACTACATAGTAGTCTATGCATTTCTTTGGTAACAATTTGCACAGTTTTTGATTCAATTTTTAGTTGATTTAATTTTGAATATAAATATTCTCGTTAGTTTACTTCCAAAGTTTGGTAAATTTTGTTTAGTTATTTTTTTAAAAAATAACTAAAATAATACTTTTTGTTTTTTTTTACCATCCCACTGCTTTGAGTATCCCACTTCGACCACTGCTCATGAAGGTAAATTCATCACAATTACGAATTTTTTATAGCTTTTATATTTTGGTATGGATTATATTGACTTAACATACCCACATTTTCTACATTATACTATATTCAGTAGTAAAAATTTCAATCGATCGGTGTGTTGCACGATATCGTTCAAATTTTATCTATTTAATTTTAAGTAGGTATAATTCTTATTTTTACAAGTATATCTATTTATAGATTTGCAAAAGATAATTAATTAATTTTAATAAATTATAATGAAAGCGTTCAAGATATAAATACGATATCGCAAAATTGCGAAAAATGCTGCCTCGTTATCATTTATCTCTCAATTTATACAATAAGTTTTTGCAGGAGACAAATTCACCATAATTTAATAAATTATTTTTGCAAAGACGACACAATTAATGTCAAACAATTAATGTCGATTAAAAACAAATAAATTTTAACATTTACTTTATATTTAAAATGAAACTTCCTTTGATTCATAACTATTTTAAGCAATCCTGTTTAAGAAAAATTCGTATAAATGAATATTTTCACAAATTTTATATCCAATTTTTTTATATATTAGAAATATTTTCGTAGTATAATTTTGTACAGAGAATATCTTGCACAGCCCTTATATGAACAAATTTACTCAGAAATTTAATAATTTTCTGAAAAGAACCTGGCAATGCTTTTTATTTACAATTTTTTGTTTATCCTAGAATTCGCTATCTCTTTTGCTGTCATTTCTTTTAAATTTCACTACGTTAGTGTAAAAGAGTAAGAAATTTTTGATATTGTTGAAATTAAAAGAAATTTCTATGTCAAAAATCAGCTGATAAGAAGATTAACTGACTATGATGAACATAATCGATTAAAAGTTTTTTAATTAAAAAGAACGCAAATTTCATAAAATGTTGTAAAAGTGATGGTGGAAGAATTTTTTAAGCTTCCAAAGCTCAAACTTTGTATTTAATTATATAAAACATAAGTTATTATTTTCCATTATTTATTCTTAAAAATTAAAAAAAAGATAGGAGATGGAGACGCTTCGGCCGAAACTTGTGATAATTGCATGTGGATCTTATAGTCCAATAACTCCCATGCATTTGAGAATGTTCGAAATTGCGAAAGATTATTTTGAAAGGACTGGTTTGTATGAAGTTATAGGTGGAATTATTTCACCTACTCACGATGATTATGGAAAAGGTATCTAAAACATATTTACATTGTAGTAGAATATATTAAATTATTTAAGTCCTTATGTACTTACATACATATATTTAACTTATACCTAATATATATGCATGTCTTATGCAGTTGGGCTTGTGCCTGCAGTACATCGTTGCACGATGATTAAACTCGCAACGAGGTCCTCTAGTTGGATTCGTCTTTCGGATTGGGAAATACAACAAAGCCAGTGGTCAAGAACTAGACAAGTTTTACAGTATCATAAGGTAGGATGTAACATAAGCTTGTACTTGTTTAGGTTGTGTAAAATTATCGTCAGTTAAGAAGCAGAAAGCATTAAGTCATGAAATTGAGTAAATTCAATTTTAAAAAATTGTAAAATTGTAAAATTAATCAACTAGTACAATTCGATTGGTCTCTTTAATTTTTGGATTTATAAACTATATTCTGAATTTGCATGATTTTTTGCCACAACAAAGGTTATATTATTCTGATTTAATTCATCAATGAAATCCGAATTCTCAAAAAATGCACTTAGTGCTTTCTGCTTTTTAACCGACGTTATATGATATAAAAAAAGTGTGATGAAATTTCAAAAGAAAAAGTAGTAGACAATATAATAAAAACAGGATATTGATACTGAATTACATTGGTATTTTAAATTTACTTAAATAATATACAAGTACCCGAACAAGCAATACAAGTACTTTAAAAGTTTTTGGAAAGTTATTCTAATGCAAACATTTCTTTTTAGAATTTTATGAATAATTTTATTAAAAGTCCAAATTCTCATAATGAAGCTGATTTACCGGAATGGTTGCCAAAAAAGTTGAGTGAATGTAAACATGGAGTTCATTTGAAACTGTTATGTGGTGCGGATTTACTTGAGTCATTTAATGTACCCAATTTATGGAAAGATGAAGATGTAAATTTAAGATAAAGTTTTTTTATTATTTTTGATTGCTAATTTGTCTCATGAATAATTATGTTAAAAATTAACATATTATTCTACTTTAGCAATGAAACGATTCAAAGATTTTTTCGAAATATTTTCAATTTATTTTAACGGTTAATTTTTTAGATTGAAGAAATTGTAGGAAATTATGGACTGATAGTTGTTTCAAGAAGTGGCTCAAATCCAGAACGTTTTATTTTTGATTCCGATTTGCTGTCAAAATTAAAAGTGATTAAATTTTTATTTATTAATTCCGCCAATACAATTTTGATTTTTTTTCCAGTTTAATATATCATTAATAACAAATTGGGTGCCAAACGAAATTAGTTCCTCAGTAATTAGAAGACTAATTTCGAGAGGTGAATCTGTTAAATATTTAATTGACGACGCCGTAATAGAATATATAAATCGCAATGGTTTGTTTAAAACGGCAAATACAAAAACGTAAGGAAATAAATACCAATATTTTAATTATTATTTTTTGTTTGTATACAATAAATTCTTTTATTATGTTTTAGTTAAAACACTTAGTTTGATTTATTTCTTTTATAAATTTTTAAGCACGTTTTATTTTGAAATTATATGATTTGTTTTAGTTTCTTTCTTTTTTCTTTTGTTAAGCATCCTTCTATCTTATTTTATTTGTTTTGTAGATTTTCTAAACTATGCAAAGTAGATACTATTTTAATATTTCTAATCAATATTTTATCAAGCGCACCCTTTTTAAAAATATTTTAAAATCTTTTTAATTTTATGATAGAATTAGAAAAAGAAATTCAAATCAAAAGAAATAGAAAAATGAGTTTTTACTCTTATGACCTATGTGCTAAATAATATATTTTATTAAGTATAAGTTTAATGTCATAAATGGGAACAACATAGAGTTTTTATAAATATTGCTATATTATCAGTCGTATGTTTCATTTAGATTTTTTTTCCACCTAAACTTTAAAGATGATAATAAAATCTTATCAAATTTTTATCATTTAAAATAAGTACATATTTGCATAAATATTAAAATGATAATCAATTAAGATTTAATTGTACTATTATTATTATATTATATTTTTATTTTACATTCTCAGTTCGAAACCGGCGATAGAAAATGATGTAGAAAAAAATGTAATAAATATTACAAAAAATTTGAAAATAGCGAACAGAAAACGAAAGAAGAAATTGTGATAAACGTACGCGTATTTAATTTAAGTTCTCTTTTAAAAAAATTAAGTTTATATTAAGTTTATTCTAATTTTATATCTTTATTGTGTATGATTTTTAATTGATTTTTATTAAAGGAACGAAATTATAAAATTTTTCAAATATTAAGTGAAAAATACTTTTAAGTATTAAATAAATAGCACATTTTAGTATTTATAGGTCCTAATTCCTACTTTAAAAGAAGGCAGTTAATATGGAAAAAATCATTTATTAATTTATTAATATAATATATCTAAATTTAAACTTGTATATTTTTACTTAAATTATGACAAATAAAAGTTAAAACATTTAGGTTGAAGTTAATTTTTAAATTTTTAAATATCAATTCTTCAACATTTTTTCATATTACATTGCAGAATTTATTTCATATTTGAAAGTATTTTTACGAAAAATTTTAAAAAATATTAAAGTATACATATGAATATTTTATTCTTTTTAATATAAACTTTCTCTACGTTTTTGAAATTTAGGCGGAACTCGTTCAGATTAGAACTGATTCAAGAAATATAGTTATTCAAAAATTAAAAAAATATTAAAAGTATTGTGTTCAACTAGTAATTGTTATTGTAATAACAAAATTTGAAATTTATAAAAGAAATATATATAAAATTATCATCGTAAATTAAACATTTCCTTGTCAAATTAAATTTAACTTGTAAAATATGAAGTACAATTCCATTTGATCGGTTTAATTAATTCGTTTTATATATTTGTGATTAATTTTTTTTAAAGCTTTTATTAATTATACAAAATAATAATCTACATTATATTTTCTAAATTTTAAATTTTAGAAAAAATAAGATTTTATTTTATAAGAATTCTCATTTAAAAATTGAATTTATAGTATTATGTATACGTTATTAAAAATTTTCAATTATTGTTCAAAGGATCTCATTCTATAAATTGTACATAAATTATATAATTTTTGGAATTGTGCTGCATACTTCAGAAATAAAATTAAAATGTTATCCTATAATCAATTTTAAAATATATAATAAAAAAAGAAAATGTAATACATTTATCGTATTTTTAAAGTCGTATCGTAATCGTAAATTTTACATGTGATTCTTTTTAAAATCGTTTTTAATCATATTAATTATTATTATTATATACAATTGTATTGCATAAATTAAAAAAAAAAGGATTAAAAAATTTTAATGTAAAAGAAAATGTTATACATATATTTTTTATAAAATTGATTTACATAAAAAAAAATTGAATAATAATTTATTGTGAATTATAGTAAAATAATAAGTTAATGTTGTAAAAGTTTTTGGAGATTTCTTAACACATAAAAAATTAGCTTAATTTTAATTACAAAATAGTATATAAAGCTTCGAACATATATTTTTGTTGTATTGATTATAAATTTTCTGACATTTCTACAACACATTACAGAAATGCATTTAAAATAGTAGAAATTATTGAATCATAAATAACATCATAAAATTTGGATAACAGCCATCGGTCATCTTCTGCTATTGAATTAGTAGACTGTACCTGGAGTGTGGCCACATCATATTTATCATTAATTAATTAATAAAAAATATACAAACATTAAAATTGAATTTGCAATGCCATTTGTATTTATAAAAGTATAAACTTTTGGCGATCAATAATAAAAGTCAATTGAAATTTACATTTATATGTAACATAACAATATATTGTAGTGTTATAACATAATAGAGGTATAAGAAATTATACAATTATAGTAAATTATTAAGTATTTAGTAAGAATTCAACAATTCTATTTTTTTTTTTATTTTCTTTAAGCATTTAAGCATAAAATTGGATTTGTTGAGAAGCTTTGTGGATTCTAAATAAGTAAGGAATTTTGATATGAGTTTAAGTAAACAATTATTTTAAGTGATAAAGATTCCAAAAATAAATTATAAATTTTATTTATATTAAAATGAGTTCACTAATCAAGAAGTCTCGGATGTCGTCAAATTAATGAAATAAGTGTATGTTTAAAAAATATTATTTGTCTATTTATATTTAATAAGGTATTTTTAAAAAATTTATGAGTATATCAAAATTTTGTATAAACTATTGTGTTTATTATAATAAATATATTATTTAATATATTCATGTTAAATTTTAAGTCTTATGTATTCAATACTATTTGGATAGGAAATAAATCTAGCAAGAAATATTTACTGTTTTTACAAATATATTATTATTTTTTCCTAAAATTGAAAAATTAAATTATTAAAACAGTACTATTTCATTTTTGCTTTAATTTTTTTTATCAATTTTTTTTGCAGCCAAAATTTGTTTTCGGTAAAAATTAAAAAGTATTTTTATAGATTATGTTTATATTTTGCTTTCACATATTTTATTTTTTATATTTTTATATTTTTTAATAATATTTTTAAAATTGATATGTTGTACGTTCTGGCCTAGTAACTATATTTAAATGAAATTAATGATACTTGCGTTATTTAAGATGAATTAATATTCCTTGTTCCCAATTAAGGAAAAGTTTATTTTAAGAATTAAACTAAATCTTAAATAATTGAGAAATTAATTTTTTTGCAAAAATTTTTTAGAATTCGTATTACAAGATTTTTGCATTCAATTTTTAAGAATTTGTGTTACAAAATTTTTTGTTGAAGTAACTTTAAATATTTCGATTTTTGCTAATTAAATTTGTACATACGAAATATGTATATTTGTTCATCTTGAACCAAATATTTAAAATATTTAGTTTCCAGATAGGTGTATACTTTTATAAAATTTTAAATTATGTACTTAATATGTTGTATATACAAAATTCAATTTAAGTATATTCTAGGCCGGATGTTTTTCATAAAATTAATTACATTTAATTTAGTTCAAAGCTTACAATATTGGATAAAATAAATTGGGAAACAGAACGAGAAAAGAATAAAAAACAGGAATATAACATTATTAGGAATCAAAAATATCCTCAAAGAAGTAATTTATGTGTTAAATTATCAGAAATGATGTTTTAATAGAGGAAAGCATGGAACGGACAATAAAAAAATAAAAATTTATGATATTTAATTTCATTACAGAATACCCATAAAAAATAAAAATGAAATATATTAAAGGATAAAATTAAAAAAAAGAATGCAAATTAATTTTACAAAATGTTGTATGTACATTTAATCTGTATTATTATAAATGTATAAAAAAAGGTGTGATATTATTAAAAGCAGTTTTAGTAGATAAAATTTATATTTTTTATGAAATTATAAATTTTATTTAAATATGTTAAAATTTGTGATTGTGTAAAAATTGATTGTTCCTAAAGTAATGGGCAAAGTTTATGTAGTAATATTTATTATTAGTATTATTAAATGTATGATGAGAAAAGAATATAATTCCAAAAATTGCATTATGCATTTTTTTCAGAAGCAAATAATATGCACCTGCAATTTGAAATAAAAAAAAATATTTAATGTATTCTTAAATAAAAAAAAAAGCAAAAATTGTAGCAAAAAGTAAAGAATTTAGTTTTTTTATTTAAAGTCAAATTTATTTTTTTTTAATTTCTATTAATTATTACTTGTATTCCCGTAAAGATAGTGCGAATAATGAAGAGGTAAGGTATGCTGTTCACTTTTTAGAAATTATCTTCGACTTCTTTTTTGGGGGAATGAAATTTTTTAAAATTTAAGAATTACATTTTCCAAAAATCTTTGTTGTCAATTTTTATCCAATGAAACCTAAAATTTAATAGCAAATAACTGATAAGTTTCAGTGAGAATAAGAATGTTTTTGATATTTCCTGGTATTAGCCAACTTTAAAATGGTAGAACGGTATCATTTTTGTTTTTAATTTTTGTGATATTCCGTTCCTATAGTTAAAAACATGTTGACAGGAGTTACAAAATTAAGGTTTAACTATATGTATAATATATCTTTATATGTATTTGATACAATAGAGCAAAACCACCCAAGCCAGCATTAGTAGTTAAGAACGAATTTATATAAAATTACTAAGTTATTAAAAAAAAAAAAATTGGAAGGAATGTACCCCAGGTACCCCAGTTAAGTATTGATGAACAATATTATCTTCGAATATGTACTGTAGTTTTTTAAATATGTTTAAAATTTCTGTTAATAGTCTTTATTGAATTTAACAAGAATTTCGAAATCAACTCAACCTCCTAAATTCATTAAAGACCTTTAGCTTTTTACCTTGTTGTTAAAGGAATTCAAATTAACTCAACCATTTCAACACTACCAATTTTTCGACAAACAAAATTATTTCACAAAAACTGTTAATAACATTCAGTTTATTACTTATTTCTGAATTAAATTAAATAAAGTAGAAATTTATAGCATTCTGTACTTATTTATGAGTCACAATTAATTAGATTTATAAACACTAAAAAATTTAGCCGGCTTTTTTTTATAATAAATTATTAGCCAAACGAAAAGAGGACTAGAGAACCTAATAAATAAATAAAGCAAAACACAAATTTTTAAATTTTTCGAACATTTTATTTTTTTTTCATTTATATTTTTGTTGTAGAAAAGGACACTTACATTTTACAAAATACATATTAAGATATTTATTACAGACGTGTGTTTGTGAAAATAAAAAATAATCTAAAATATTTTTGTTTTTTTTTTTTTTTTGAATTTACAAATTAAATTATGGAAAATAAATATTTTAAAAACAAGTTCCTTTATTAAAGTGACTTGACTATTAGACCCTTAAATATCGTTTTAAAAACATAATCTTTATTTATTTGTTTTTTTTTCTTTAAAAAATAATATGAAAAATAAGTAAGTATATAAAAATTAAATATGTATTTATTATAAAATTGAAGAATAATTAATTCACTTACACAATCATAATAAAATCTTATGTATTATTATAAAAAATTTGAATATTTACGGAATGTTAATTGAATATTTTATGTTTTATATATTTTTTTTTTGTTTAATTATATTCTGTTTCTAGATTTTTCTTTAAAATTCGATTTTAATTGAATTTTTCTTTTCTGAAATTTTAAATTTACGTAAGATCCTTTATCTTTTCTAATAATTTATAACTCAATTATTGTAACTATGATGTTATTTTTTTTTTTTAGATTTTATTATTATTAGATTGAGTTATTTAATTTTATTTTTACATTTTTTATTGTTTTATTTTTACTGTTGATTAAAACCTTCAACATTTATGATTTTAAATTTAAATTTTTATTTTAATGTATTTTTTTTTTCTGTTGTTGTAGGTCAAATAATTATCATTATTTTATAGTACTAAACTTACAATCTAAAAAATTTTAATAAAAAAAAAAAAAGGCTAAATATTGCAAAACTATTTTGCGCGCAACACAAAATTCTTTTTTGAAAAATAAAAACAAAAAAAAAAAAATTAAATTTTTTTTTTTTTTATAATACAAAAATAAATATAAAAAAGATTTTCATTTTTAATCTTCAGTGCAATTTATAATCCTAAAGAGGATTTTTAGTTTTAAATTTTCGTATGTTAATTATATAATTGCCCACAATATTGTGTTAGTCGTTGCATTACTTGAAATAATAGAATGTTATTAAAAAATAATTCGGTTTTCTGTATAGATTTTCCAAATTTCTAAATTGATTTTATTAATTGTGAAATTGTAAAAATTTTTTAATAACAAGGTATCGCATCAAGTGACGCGCTACTAACAGAATGTGAGTAAATGTGTTCATATTATAAAATGTGATTTTTATTACAAAAACGATGAAATTAAAAAAAAATCAATTCAAATTCAAAAATATTAATTATCATGATCACATATAATATATTTTATTGTATATAATTAATTACGAAAATTTAATCTAATTCAATTATTATATTGGTTATATAATTATCACGGATAACGAAGATTTTATCTTAAGATTTTTATATTTTTTTATATTTTTTTATTATTATAATGTTTATTATCTTAAAAATTATTTATTGAATTATTTATTATAATAATTCTTTCATTTTTATTTTTTGTTTAAATTTCTAAAAAAAAAAAAAATTTTTTTTTTATTAATTTTTTATTCCAATGCTCAAGTAATTGAAAATTTTTCTTTAATATTTTTTATTATTTTATAAATTTTTTAAATTTATTTATTTTGTTTTTAATTAATTAATGTATATTGAATATTAATGTTATATTGTTTTGTTTTTATAAATAATATTGCAATTTTAATTATAATAAAAAATAAATACACATACATTTATATATTTAACTAAATTAAAAATAAAATTTTTCTGTTTTCTTTATTTAATTTTATATAATTACATATTATATGATTGGTACAAAAAAAAAAACAAAAAAAAACAGAATATTTTCAATAAGTCAAGCAATGGATTTAGAAAAAAAAAAATTTTTTTTTTGTTCTGTATTGATTTTGTTTTAGCAATAATTTAGCATTTATACAGCCTAGAAGGATAATAATATAATAATATTGTATATTAAAAAAAAAAAAATAAAATTAAAATAAAAGTATTTTATGATTGGAAAAATAGTTTAGAGTATTTGTTAAATTTTTTCTTTTTTTTTTTTTTTAAATATAATACGTTAAAAATGTCTTTTTAAATGAAAAACAGTATAATTAAATTACATATTTTTATTTTAATAATTTTTTGCTTTTAATTATTACAGACATTTTTTGTTTTCATAAATTGACAAGAAACATATATTTTATGACTTCTAAATATTTTCATTTTATCACTTTTGAACAAATTAAAAAATACAAAAATGAAGGAAAAAAGAAAAATGTTTTTTATTTTTTAAACGGTGAAAACCATCAATAATTTTAATATAACAATAAATTTTTATTTTAAATACACAATTAAATTATAAGCAATTCAAAATGAGTAATTTTCAAAAATTTGAACGTACTTGAGAATTTGTAAAGAATTTTATTAGACTATTTCCCAGTATATCAAATGCGTGCAATTGACGTTAGTCATGCGAATTTAAACGCAACCTGACGTACACGTCATAAATTGCAATGTATACATTGCTAATGCAAATATATAAATAATTTGTAAGTGACAAAATAAATTTCAAGTTTGAAATTTTAAATTTTCCGCTTTTTTTTGAAATAATTTTTTAAAAATTGTAAAAAAAGTGAAAGTTGCTTAATTGCAAATGATTGTCAAATCTTTGACGTTCTGAGAAACAGCTCCAATTCTGATGAAAATATAATATGATCAATTGAAATTTTTGTATTTTCCAGAATATTCTAAGAAAGTTAAATAAAATATAAGAAGATTTAATTATAAAAATTAATAAAATAAAAAAAAAAATTAAAAAATTTTCATTTAGAACCTTTTTTGTTCACAAATTGTTAAAATGATTTTTTGTTTTTTCAATTTGTTTTCTCTTTCGTTTACATTTTTATAATAATATTTTCATTTTTTTATTTTTTTTTTTAATGTTTAAATATTTTTCGAAGACTAGAGACTACAGATTTTTTCATAGTTTAAAATAATATATCTAACATATTTATAATAATTACTTTTTTTCTTTTTTTTTTTTTTTTTAATTTAAAAAAAATATTTATATATGATATTTATATATATATATATGCATAATATATAAGTATAATAGTATATATTCATCACAATGAAATTTATTTTGTTAATTATGTAATATTATATAATTACATATCTTTAATTTACATAAAATTTCAAAAGAAATCTCATTACAAGGATATATGCAAAATTTAATTGGAGCACAATAATAATAATAATAATAATAATAATAATGACAATAATAATAATTATATTAATAATCAATAATAATTACAATAATTTTTGTTTTTCGTTATCTTTTTAAATTAATTAATTAAAAAATGATATTTATATAATTTAAAATTAATTAATTTAAAAAAAAAAACTAAAATTTTTATTGCCTATATTTATATATATATATTTCTATATTTATATAAGTATATTATGTATATATTTAAAATAAATGAGTCAAGCTTACAAAAAAAAAAAAAAATTAAAATAAAATAATTATAAATATTGCAACTGCCTAACTATATTAAATATTGATATTGAAAAATGAAAGTAAATTAATAAAAAAAATTATAAGGTAAAAAATATTCATTTTTGTATTTCCTCATTTTTAATATTATGCTATTATTATTTTAATTTAATTAATTTTTAAATGCACAATATTCCAATTTAAAAAAAAAACTAAGACAATTGCTTCTTATTTTTCCTATTTAATAATGAATAGAAGGAAATTGTTTGTTAAAATAATTTAATAATTAAAAAAATTAATAATATGGAAATATTGTGAATAATCTATATTATTTAATATACACTAAATATAATCAAAGTGAATTACTGGAGTTAATTGTGCGTTAATTAGGTAGTTTACTGGTCTTTGATTGTTATATTAGTAATAAGATAATTGCTCTTATATTTTTATAAAAATAATTATTATAAAATATCAAAAATAATAGCACATTATTGTGTCTTATCGACACTCCTAATAAATAACAGAAAAATTTATTTTAACCTTATATAATTACATTTTTCCATTTCTCAGGCCAATTTATTACCCTATAGAAAGGCAGTGCAATACTACTTTTAAAAAATTAAAATATATTTTTTTTCTTTTCTTTGATAAGCTTAAATTCTTGAGTACAATAAGAAAATATGAGATTTTTTTTTTCGTACTTAATTCTAAAGATATATAAAATTAATACCGTTTCTACTATCCTGTTTTACTGTTTATTTAATTTTTTTATTTTTTTTTTTTATAAATTTCTTAATTAAGTTTTTTTTTTCGTTTCTTTTTCAGTTTTTTTTTTATCAAAGTTTCGATATGATTTTATTGCATTTTTCAAATTTTAATAAAATTAATTTTTATTTGCTTTTCTTTTTTATTTTTTTAAATCAAAATTTATTCATTACTGTTTGGTGTTATTTGGCACCTGTTGTTTGTTTTTTTTTTTCTTATATAATTTAAAAAAAATTATTATATTTAAAAATTCTTTAAACTGCTTGAAGTGTTTCATCTCCGGCGACGAGATGCAACCACAGCAATCATTTGACGTAACATTGGCTCTGGAGTACATGGTTTTGGATTACATTCCATTTGTCCATCGCCACCACATCTAAAACAAAATAAAATAATATTATTACAGTAGAATACAACAAAATTAAAAAAGAAAAACAGTTACGTATAACAATTTATTATGTTTAACTTACGTGCATTGCATACATGGTCCACTAGCTGATGGTATTTTATCACCTACTTTATATGAGATACCTTGTATTTGACAGCCATTTCTTTCAACTTTTTGATGCCGCCTATGTAAGAAATGAGGTGGAAGTGTTGTAGTTGTTGTGCTAGTTGTTGAATTAACATTATAGCCCATTGAAACTGGACATTCATATCTTGGACAACAGAAACCTTGTATTGGTTCTTCATTACAACCAGATATTGGTGGCGGACAGGATTGTTGTAAACAAATGATATCACTTCTAAAGCAGAAACAGAAATCACAAGGATCATCACGAGGTATTTGTTGTGCTGATACAAATAATTTTCCACCATAACGACAAGTTCCAGGTCCAAAAATATCGGCATCATCAGGTTCATCGTAATATTCAGTTGGCATATCTGGAGGAATATATCCGGGAATCGAGGGCATAAATGTAGGTTTAGTTGTGAGAGGAACTTTTGTTGTTGTACTCGTTGAACTTTCTTCTTCCAATGTTGGTTTTTCAGTTTGTTTTTCTGGTTTTTGATCATCATCGGGCTTACTTGTTTTATCTCCCAAAGGACTAATTGTTTGTTGTTCAGCAATAGGTTCTTCAATTGGTTTATCAGTTTTAGTTTCATTAAGTGGAATGTCAATAGGAGCTTTTGTAAATGCATCATCTTTTTTGGGTACTTCAGTGCTTTCTTCTTCATCTGGTTTGGGTGTTTTTTGTGTTGTCTGTGACAGTTCTTCTTCAGGTACTTCAGTTCGAGTTTCTTCTCCCGGTAATACTGGTAATAAATGTGTTGGTTTTTCTGTATCAATTTCCTGAATATGAGGTACAGTTTCATTCTTCGTAGTTTTTTCAGTTTGTTCTTCAGGAATTTCAGTTCTCGTTTCATCTTCAGGTATTCCGGCAATAGGTTTCTCTGGTGGCACTTCTGTTGATACTCCTTCAATACTAAGACCGACATCTTCTTTATCTTTTTCTTTAGGTATCTCAGTAGATGTTTTTGAGTCGAATGAAAGTGGAACTTGCGTAGCTGTAGTTTCTTCTGGTTGTTCTTTGGATGGTCCTGAAGTAACCTCTTCGGATATGTGCTCTTTTTCAGTAAAGCTTGGAGCTCCAGGTTGAAGATCTGAGGGTTCTTTATCAGTTCTTTCTGTAATGCTTGGGATTTCGGAAGGTGCTTCAGTTTTAATTTCAAGCGGTGGTTCAGTGAATTCTTCAGAAGGTTCTCCTTCTTTACCCGGTTTTGTTGGTATAATGTCGGTCTTTTCTTCAGAAGGTTGTTCCGTTGCTGTCTCTTCCTGTGGTTTTGCAGTAAATTCTTCTGAAGGCTCTCTTTCTTCGCTCGGTTTTGTTGGTACAATTTCGGTCTTTTCTTCAGATGGAGTTTCAGATGGTCCTTCTGTTGCTGCACCTTCTTGTGGTTTTGCAGTAAATTCTTCTGAAGGTTCTTTTTCTTCGCTCGGTTTTGTTGGTACGATTTCGGTCTTTTCTTCAAATGGAGTTTCAGATGGTCCTTCCGTTGCTGAACCTTTTTGTGGTTTTGCAGTAAATCCTTCTGAAGGTTCTGTTCCTTTGACAGGTTTTGTTGGTGTGCTTTCGGTTTTTTCTTCAGACGGTGTTTCGGATGGTTGTTCTGTTGCTGCACTTTCTTGTGGTTTCGCAGTAAATTCTTCTGAAGGTTCTTTTTCTTCGCTCGATTTCGTTGGTACGATTTCGGTTCTTTCTTCAGATGGTGTTTCAGATGGTCGGTGCGTTACTTCACCTTCATGTGGTTTTGCAGTAAACTCTTCTGTAGGTTCTTTTTCTTCGCTTGGTTTTGTAGGTATGATTTCGGTCTTTTCTTCAGATGGTTTTTCAAATGGTTGTTGCGTTGCCGCACTTTGCTCTGGAAGTTTTGTATCTGGTTTAGGGGTCTCTCCGTCTAATCTACCAGTAAGATCCGATGGAAGGATTGTTGTTTCTTCAGATGTTTCCAAAGATTCGGGAGCACTTGTTGGATGTAATTTTTCAATTTCTTCAGGTAATTTCTCTTCTGTTGGTTTTTCTGTAATTTGACCAGGTTGTGTAGTATCCAGCACATCAGAAGGACTAATACTTGATTGATCAAATGGCTTAAGAATTTTTTCAGTCGGTTCAGCAAGTTCTCCAGTCGTATCTTCCTCTGGTTTGCTGGTTGCTTTAGAAAATTCATCACTTGTTTGATCAATTGGTTTCGGGGTGACACCTGAGTCTGGGAATTCTTCTTCAAGCAATGGTTTCGCAGTCCTGTCTTCTTCTGGTTTGTCAGTTGCCCTACTGACATCACCGGTAACCCCTGCTTCATCGATTGATGGACTAACTGTTGGTGTAAATTCAGGAATTTTTCCTTCAAATAGTGGTTTCTCAGTTCCTTCGTCTGTTGGTTTGCCAGTTGGTTCACTAACTGCTGGAGTGACACTTTCCTTATCAGTGGGTTTATCCAATCTTTCAGTTGATATATGATCTTCCTCCACAACTCCAGGTTTTTCTGCTTCCTTTTCTTCTTTTGCTGGTTTATCAGTTGTTTCGAGAACTGGAATTCCGGGAGATGCTTGTATAGGCGTTTCAGTCTTGTCCTCTGGTTTAGTTTCTTTAAACGGTCCTTCGACGGATTCGGTTGGAACTTCAGTAACATGATCTGCACTTTCAATGTCGGAAGGTTTTTCAGTATGAATTTCTGGTGTTTCTGGAATTGCATGAGCAGTTGTAATGTCTTGCTTTTCATCTGTTGGTTGATCAATATCTTTTCGAATTTCACCTTCTTCCGTAACATGTTTTGAAATTTCTGTAGACATTTCAAGTTCACTTGGCATAGTTGGTTTAGCACTTTCGTCCGTAGCGGCTTCTGGATGAATTTCTTTGGCGGGGGTTGTATATCCAATTGCACTTTCGTCAGATTTTTTAGTTGTTTCTTCGCCTTCTTCCGGTTTTCTAGTTTGACCTTCGATCTCAGTATGTGATGGTCTTTCGCTTGAAGTTTCAGGTGTAATTTCTGTAGCTTCGTCTTGAATTGTAGGTTCTCTTGAGTCTCCTCTTGGAGATTCTGTAGTAGTTTGTGAAGTTTCAGAAATTGTTGGCTGCTCGTCAGGTTTTCCTGTTCCAGTTTCTTCATCTTCTTTAGAGATTTTAGTTTTATCCTCTGGAGTAAGATGTGGATATTCAGTTGAACTGCTATCTGGATATTCAGACGCCACCTCTGATCCATCAGGCAATTTGGTCGTTGGTAGTTTTTGATCTTTGGGTGATTCAGAATCAATTCTTGTGGGAATTTCTGGACTTTCGATTTCTTTTGATTCATCAGAAGGCACTTCCGGAATAATTTCAGTTGTTTCAAGTTTTTTGTCTTCATCCTCTTTTGATATTTCAAGGCTGTCGCTTGGAGTTTCCCTTGATGGTTCGGTTGGTTCGTCAGAAGTTCCGATTGTTGATTCGCTTGTTTCAAATTCTGGTTTCTCAGTTCGAGCGATGGGAGCCTCAGTTTTCTTATCAACACCGCTTTCAGTGTGGTCAACTTCTTCATCTGATTTGTCTTTAGCAGATTCCGTTGCTTTTTCAACAGGAACTTGTAAATGATCTGAAGTGTCAGTTTGTGATTCTTCGACTGAAGAAGGAGTTCCTTGAGTAGAAGTACCGCCACTGCCTTCACCTTCCTCTGATTCCAAATGGGATGGAGTTTCAGTTGACTCAAGTGATTTGATACCGTCATCAGGCTTTTCGGTTTTTTCTTTAGAGATTTCTTTGTCTCTTTCCGTTTGACTTTCAACCATTTCGGTGACTCCTTTACTAGGCTCTTTTTCTGGTGTTTCAGTGCTTTCACTTGGTTTTGGCTGTTCAGTTTTTTCTGTAATATATGGTTTGATTGTTTGTTCACCTTCAGTTTCGATTTCACCTGGCTGTAATTTTTCTGTTTCAAGTTTTTCAATTGATGTAACAGGTTCTTCTTTCGGACTTTCTGTGAAGCTTTTGATTCCTTCTTCTGGAAGTTCGGTTTCTTTTTCAATTTCAGCTTCTTTGTCCTTAGAAGGTTCAGTCTTTTCTTCTGTAGACTGCGATGGTTGTATTGTAGTAACAATAGGGCTTTCTTTTTCTGTATCCATAATTTCATCTGGATGTTTTTCAATTTCTGTTTCCAAACTTGGGATTTTAGTAGCACTTGGCTCTGTTGGACCGGTTGTTGCATCTTCTGGCATGGATGAAGTTTCTTTTTGAACTTCTTGGTCAGATTTTTTAGTAGTAGAGTCAATGGTTGGTTCAGTACTTTCTCTTTCAATAGATTCGGATACTGGAACTTCTTTCTCAGATATTGTCGGTACATCTGTTGGTTTTTCTGGTCTAGCACTATGTTCGTCAGGTAGTGGAGATGTTTCAGTTGCTTTTTCTGCGTCCAAAACTCCTGTCGATTTTTCTGGTTCTTTCTGAGGCTCGAGTTCGCCTTCAGTTGGTCTTTCAGTTCCTTTGTCTTCAATGGATACTGTTGCCGTTTCTGGAATTTCAGAAACTTCAGGTTTTTCTTCAGATTTGCCATCATCTCGTGTGATTGGTTTTTCGGTTTCTTTTTCAGGAACTGTTTCAGTTTTCATATCTGCATCTTCAGAAGTTTCAGGTTTTTCTTTTTCTAATTCACCCTCAGTTCTTGGTTTTTCAGTTCCTTTCTCTGGTATTAATTCTGTTTGCATTTCTGGTTTTTGTTCGGGTAATAATTCACTAATTTCAGGTTCTTTTTCAGGCTCTCCTTCAGCTTCACCAGCTTTTTCAGTAACTGACTCTGGAATTGATTCGGTTGGCAAACCTGATATTTCTTCTTTAGGTAATTTTTCAGTAGCTCTCATGTCTTCTTCAGTCGGAGTTGGTGTGGATAAATCAATTCTTCCTTCAAGAGATTCGTCGACTTTTTCTTTATCAATAGGTTGTTCAGTTTTAGTTATAGGTGTAGCACCTATTGGTGTTTCCGTTCCTTCAGGAAGAATGGCTGGACTTGTAGAGGTTGAAGCTTTTTCTTCAGACGTTTTAGTTCCAGATTCAACTTCTAACCCTTCAGCGGATGTAACCTTTTGTTCTGGAATTTCTGTTCTGTCTTCTGCTGGTACAAGTGTAGGTGTTGTTGGTTTTCCAGGTGCTTCTTGAAGCGGTTTTTCAGTTACTTCCAGTTCTGATTTTTCGGTACTTTCTTTCAAAGGTACCATTCCAACTTCCGCTTCTGTACTTTCTGGTCTTTCAGTTTCAATTGAAGTCGGTATTACAGTTGGGTGAATATCTTTCAGTTTATCATCAACGGTAGGCTCAGTAATATTTTCAAGTTGTTCTTCCGTTGGTTTATGCGTTATTTCAAGAATTTCTTCCGGTTTTTCAGTTTGTCCAGGTTTGCCAGCTTCTTCAGATTTAGATGGAGCCATCACGTGACTATCACTCGGAATACTTTCTAAAATTGGTTTAAAGGTCTGATCTTCAGGAACCATCATTGACAAAAGAGTTGTTGTCATTAATTTGTCTGTTTCATCTGGTTTTGTAGTAACTGATTCTTGTATATCTTTTACGGTTGGTTCCTTTGTTGCTAGATCAGGTTGTAATGTTTGAATATCTAATAAAGATGGGGTTGTTTTATCTGGAGTTATTGATGATTTGGTTGCATCTTCTGGACCCTGTTCCGTTAATTTATCTTCAGGTATTCTTTCTGTTTGTGTATCTTCTGCAGATACAGGAGCGTCGATTTCAATTCCAGTTGGTTTTGTTACTTCTTCTTCAGAAGTTGTGATACCTTCGGTGGGTGAAAGTCGATCTCTCTGTTGCTGTTCAACATCAGTTTCTTTTTCTGAAGGTGTAGTTACAGGCTCTTGGGCTATGGAATCGTCTTTCTTAGCGTCTTTTTCTCTATCAGCTCCGGTAGTTGGCTCTACTTCTTTTTCTTCAGGAGATTCAGTTGCTTGAGAATCAACTCTCTCACCTAGTTCGGGACTAATTTCTTTCAATGGTGCTTCTTCAGCAACAGTAGTGGTATGCTCAGGAGCTATTTCAGTTCCTTCAGGGCAAAGCAAAGTAGGGCAGCATGCACCAGGAGCCGGTTCCAAGATTGTGCAACCTGGTCCCGCAGTTTGAGCACATTCAATTGTTTTACATTTAATCATACTGCTTACACATACACACTCATATTCGCATTCATTAGAAGATGGTACCGTAGTATTATTTTTATAAGTCTTTCTGTCTAACAAACAGTCGCCTTCTCCAGGTATAGCAAATGGAATAGCAAGATCCATTTCTTCCGTACTTGGTTCTTCTTCACTAGATTTTGAGGGCTCTTCGGTTATTCCACCAGGTGCTCGAGTTGTGATCATTTCTGCAACAGAAACAGCTTCACCTTCTTTAGTTTTGTCAGTTTTAGTTTCAGGTTGTTCACGTTCACCTTCTAATGGAGTAGGAGTTTTTCTAATATCTTCTTCTGGAATCAAAGTTGTTGATCCTCCAATTTCTTCGGCAGATGGTGAAGATGGACCGATTGTTACAGCTTTAGTTGGTGTCTCAGTCACGTCTTCTTGTTCTCCTTTGATTTTAGGTGAAGATGGAGTAAGTGTTATCTCGTCGGTTGAGATGGTAGTTTCTCCCTCGTATGATGGCGCAGATGGTCTTTCTGTTGAAGCCTCACCTAAACCTGTTGGTATTATTTTTTCCTCTTCATCAGGTTTGGATGGGGTTGGTGTTTTCACGTCTTGAGAGTAAGCCGGTGTTGATTGCTCTTCAATGATATCGGAAGTAATCTGTTCTTTGTCCTCAGATACTGGTACAATTTCAGTCATATCATCTGAAGCTGGTGCTTCTGTAATTTGGTCCGCTTTCGGTAATGTTGGAACTTCCGTTATTACTTCACCAGAAGACAACGTGAAACCTTCACCTTTTGGTGCTTTTGTTGGAGTTACTGTCACACTCTCGGCATGCATTGGAGCTACAGTTTGTTCAAGTTCGTCAGTCTTTAGCGGAGATGGTATTTTTGTGGCGCCTTCAACAAGTGCTGTTTCCTTTTCAGTTTCTGCAATTTCTACAGGAGTGCCTTCTGTAATATGCTCTGCAACAACTGGTGTTACTTCTTTGTCTTGTTCTTCTTTAGGTATAAACATGCTTTCGCTGACACCTTCACTTGGAACAGTTGTTATTAGTTCTTTATCGGACTCAGTTGTTGGTTTTTCGCTAGCTGAAATTGGAGTTATTTTTTCTTCAACTTTTCCGATCTGTGGTGCTTGGGTAACTTCCGTAGAGGTTTCAGATATTTCTGAGACTACTGATTCAGGAGTTGTCAGTATTTCTTTAGTAGACTCAGTAGTAATAATGTGTGTGCCGTCTGTTGTTTCCGGTAACAAAGAAAGTCTTGTTTCACTTTCAGGTAGTAAGGGTTTAGTTTCTTCTTTTTCAGGTTTTTCAGTCGGAGCAACCTCCGCTGGAGCAGGTGTAGTTTGATCTTTTTCATCTACTTGCTCTGGATAAGGCTGTTTAGTTAACATAGTGTCTGGTGCCTCAGTTTCTGTGCCTTCCGGCGCAACAGATGCTTTAGGTACTTCTGTTGCTTTTTCTTCTTCTGGTAAATCAATGCGACCGCCTAATGTTACTCCTTCTTCAGAGCCAGGTTGTTGTGTAACTGGTTTCGCTTCTGATTCTACATCGTCAATGTGTTTCTGTAGTTGTTCATCTTCTTCCGAAATTGCGGGCTCAGTTTTGTCTTCCACTGATGTTGTTATTTCTGCACTGAAAGCTTTTGTTGTAGTTTCAATTCCATAATCATCACAACTGAATCTTTGAGGACAACATTCATTTTCCGGTACATTTTCAGGTGTACAATTTCTTCCAATATATTGACTAGGAATACTGCATTCTCTAACAGCACAAACAATTTTGCCTTTCATGCAATAGCAACTGTCACATGGATTTTCAGTCTCTATCATTGCGCCATCCAAATAAGTTTCGCCATTGTGCGTACATTGTTCGCTAATATCTGATCCAATCGTTGTCATAATGAAACCTTCTGTTGGTTTAACTGTAGTTGTTGTTGTTGTCATATCTTCAATTTCAGGTAGTTCGTGATCTGTTTAAGAATAAAAATTTTTTTTTAATTTTGAACATTTTTTGTTTTAATCATAACTATGAAAATTTACTATTTACGAATATAAATTGTATTCTTACCACAATTGTATCTAACTGGACAACAAGATCCTTTATGGTAAATTGGTTGACAACCGTCGATATGTAAAGTACATTCTTGCATAAGACATGATGTGCTATTTCTTATACAATAACAAAGTTCACATGGCCTATTTGGATTCGCTGGTACTTGAGATCCTTCTGGGAAAAATTTATTATTTATAACGCAACCATATTTTTCTGCAAAACCAATTGCCGATGATCCAGCAGTTCCTTTATGCATCATAACATCTACTTGAACTTTTATAATTATAAAATAGAACAAAATACAATAATTGTAATTAATAATAAAATATATTACTATTAAATACAAAATTTTTACCTTCTGGACATGTGATAATTGGACAACATTGATCTTCACGTTTTTCAATTATACAATCTTGACCAATTGGTTTTGTAAATGGACATACCCTTAAATAACACATTAGCATATTATTATGACACGTACAATTTAAACATGGTTCATTTGTCAATATTCTATCGCCTTCATTGTAGTGATTATAATTATAATAACAGCCCTCTGTAAAATAATAAATACAAAAATTATTGTATATAAAACTATTATAATATGACTAGATGAATTTTTAGAATAAATTTTTTATTTCATATAAGAATTTATACGCACATATAGCCTAACGAGTTAAATGGAATATTTACCTTTTTGAAGCCTGGATTCTAGGCTAAACTAAAACATAAAAAGCACACACATAACTAAACTGACTCAAAATTAGGTTCGTATAGAAGATCCTAACGCAATACTTTGTTATATAAAGTAATAAGGGAATTCAAAAATCTCTACACGAAAGTTTAAAAAAATTTCTGAACTCAGACACCGAAAATTTTAAATTTTCTTCTGCCTTCAACGAAATGTAGAAAACATGATTTTTTCCAGTTTTCAAATTATTGGTTACCATTCTTATTCACAAGATATAGTTCAGTTTTCATTCAAAAGAATTTAATCTTTTACATTGTTGAATTATGAAAAAAAAAGTTTTAGGAGCGAGGGTGTAAATGATTGAGTTGTGATTAAAAGCATTTTTTTTTTAATTTTACTTCCAGCTGAATAATTGTTCATAAATTAAAGACAAACCTATTCTCTGATAGAGTTGATAATTTTAAATTGAAATTCATATTATTGTTTTCAGTTTTCTCTTTCCCTTTAAGAATTTATATAACTATTAACCTCTTTTTTAATATTTTATATTAACTTTTTCCTTAATGAATTGCAAAAAAAAAATTAAATAAATTTATACAATAAAAGGAAATCTATTATAAAAATAACCTCTAGCTGTGTTCTTACAGAAGAATTATACATTTTGCTACCGAAAAATGCTGATGATGAAAGTGTAAATAGAAAATAGTTGTATAATTTATAACATTGGAGTTGCCAGATATTGATGAAAACTTTTCTTATGCAGATATTAAAAAAACTTTTTCCTAAATTTTACTTTACGATTAAATATGTTTTCATAACTAAAAATCTCATTTATCGAAAAAAAAACTACAATACTACGTGGGGGATTTGGTGATCTCCAAAATGAATTATCTAAGTTCATTGTACTAAATTGTCATATTTTCTAAAAAAATGTAACTAATTAGAGAGAGAGAGAGAGGAAAAAGTGAGAAGGAAAAAAATTAGTTTTTATTATTTTTTGTTCGTCTTTGAATTATTCTAGCCCTGTATTTCAGGATAACAATCGAGTACATGATTGGATGCATTATTGTACTGGGAATAGAAATTGTAAACTTGATGCATTATGGAAAGCATTGCAACAAATATACACAAACAATGAATTAAATATGAAAATTATATCATCTGGCAACTCTATTTTAACAAATAATTCATTTTATATTTTATGTTCATTTCTTTTTATCATTTCCTAAATGGTTTTTTTTTTTATATTCAATTTATTAAAGATTTGACCAGATCATATCAAAAGATTGCGAGAATTTTTTTTTTCTTAATTTTATTTCCCTCAATAAAAAATGAAAAATGAATTGAAAGAAATAATAAAAGTTTCTTGTTTTTTTAAGAAAAAATTCTTTATGCGGAGAACAAAACGATGCAAAACGGTAAGCGGCATTAAATTTCAATATGAATTAAAAAAAAAAAAACATATTAAAATGAGAAAAAGAGTTAAAAGATCTAAAGAAATATAAAAAAGAAATTATAGACCATGTAAAAATGCCTTTTATTACTAATACCTCGTATAAAAATAATAAGAAAGTAGACAGACCTGCAAATTTATTATAATTTTTGAATTATAAGAGGCAAGAGCCTGTATGTTAAAAATTTTTTTGGAAAAATCTTTTTATTTTGTATAGAATTTTTATAAAATTGAATTAGAGTTTTGAAATTCTTAATATTGTGTTATAAATAGAGTGATCTTATTAAATTATGCGATCTATCTATTTTAATTCTTTTTTGAATAATAAAAATTTTGCACTATATTTAGTTTGGTGTAGATATCTTCATCTTATTGTTATTTAAATTCTTATTAAAAATTTTACTTAAGAATTAATTTAAAGTTTTATGTTGTTCGGTTCGGTTTTTGAATTCAAGTATTTAAATAGCGAATTAATTTTGTAATTGAAAACAAGACCAATACATAATTTTCAAAAATTTAAAATTATTGTGTCAAAAATTTTTTTTAATTACACAATTACATATTAAATTACCTCCAAATTATAAATAAGATACTCTAGCCGAACAGAAATTCAAAGAAATGGGTTGAATCATCCTTATAGTTTTATTATATGATAATGACTTCACAGTTCATATGAACACAAATAATGATAAGGAAATATATTTAAAAGAATTTTGCAATAGAGCAGGATATTGAATGGAATCGAATCACTTGGAAACCAGGAAATATTGCAGATATAAAATCAATTAATGATGTACAATTCAATAAATGAAATATTTAGCAATAAGAGGTAAGAGAAACGTAAGGCTAAATCACAACTCTAGCCAAATATATAGAGAAAAAAATAAGTGGCTTTGTTCAAATGACCGGCTCACAGGAAAAATTTATTGTACATGCATAGATTCTTTCAAAGGCTTTAAAAAAATATTAAAGATTGTTTCAGATTGAGAAAAGATCAACTGCCAGTTAAATGCCCTGGTAGTTTCATCTCAATTAATAACAAATATTAACAAATATTGTTGAGTTAGGTTATATTCGATCCGCCATTTCTTTGAATTACAAGCAATAAATTACTAAAAATTCTCATTTTTTCAGTATTCGCAGTGCTAAATATCTTATAAAAAGCAAAACATTTTGTGCAAGAATAAATTATTTTTTAACGCAGATTCATTTGAATAATACCAAGATTATCTTATTAAAATCATTCTCATTCAAATCATCAATATAATCGTAATAATAGCTTCTCTAATTTTAATGTGCTTTAAGGTTGGTTTCATTTCATTTTTATTTATTTATGGATAAAATTGAATGATTCCGGTTGAAAATGAATTTTTTAGCCGAACTTAGGAAAAAAGAAATATTTTAATAGTTTTTAATACAATTTATTTATTTTTTTTTTAAATATTAATAAATAAAATTTATATATACGCAATATATGTGATATTTTAAGACTTGTACAAGGAAATGTACGATTATAATAAAAATAAAAAAAAAAAAATTTCTTTTTCATTTTTGGAAAATTCTTATATGAATTGAAAGAAACAAAAAATTGATTTCTTTTATATTTTTTATGATTGTTTTTTATTTTTATTTTTAGCATATTTATAATTTTTTTTTTTGAAGATGTTTAAAGAAAAATTGGGGAATTCGAGAATCAAATGTCAAGTAATTTATCATATTGGTCCATTGGTTTTTTTTTTTTAGTTTTGTTTTTGTTATTGCTGTTTTTTGCTAGTTTCACTTTGCTATTTTTTTGGTTTCTATATTTGTTAGTTATCCAAGTTAAGATTAATAGTGGCATTTAATAAATTCTTTTATTTCCATTTATAGCTAGATATTTTTTTTTTTTTTTGTTTTGTGTTATTAAACATGAGTCGCGTTTATATGTTGTTGTTGTATATAGTGAATAAACATGAAATTGAAAAATAGGTAAATTGAAAATTAGAAAAGAAGAAAGTTAATAAATTAGAAAAAAAAATTTACCGAAAAAAATTCAATTTTGGAATTTTAAGAATGGAAATTTCCTTCCACTTTCTTTTTATGCATGTACAAATTAAATATATGTTTGTATGCATGTACGTATTTTTAATTTTACTATCTGATTTTTATTGATTCGAAAATCATATATGATTACACATAAAATCGAAATAAATATATGATTTATTAAATTAAATATGATTTTTTTTTTATTTTATTTAATTCAAAAATTCACTCAAAATATTAGGATTCTCATAACTTAATTTTAAAAGAAAAACAAAAGACTTAAGTGGGAAACTTTTATATCGCAATTAATGCTAATAATGTCATATTTATTGATAAATTAATTAATTTTTGAAGATTGTTAACGTCCGTTTTTGTGCAATTACAACTTCTTATTTTCGATTTTTTTCAACATTTTTCAATTTAAACTTGTTCTTATGTAATATTTCTCTAATTTCTTTTCATGAACCTGGTCAATGGTGCAGTGGCTATTGCACCGGTCGTTTAACCGAAATATCTATGGTTCAAAGCCTGTGACCCAGCTATAGCAAAAACCCGGCGACAGAAAAACAAAACTGGATTATCTGAGAATATCATGCAGCAATCCTGTACTCCTCCCAGAAGTGAAGTAATAGAGTGAAAAAAATTATTATTTATAACTATTGTCAACCTCTTATTTATTTATCTTTATTATCAAGTGTTTAAGTTTAGTTTTTTAGACTAGAATTAATTAGAGACAAAAATTAAGTTCACGTTCTATGCGAATGTCTAACATGTATCGATGAGTGTATGCAGTCTTCTGTACTTCTTTGCCAAATTTCATATTTTGCAAAAATGCCCAAATAAATATAGAAAAAATTTATAATTGTTGGCTATTATTTATCATTGTTAAAACAATATCGTGAAGATTGAAATATTAAAATTGAAATATTAAAATATTTCGGTTTGCATTTCAATAAAATTTATAAAAAAGTTGCTGAAGCGTGAGAGCAATATTATTTTAATCAAAAATTTCGGACTAAAAACAGGAAAAAAAAGAACAAACCGAATCCAAAAATTATTTGAAAACAAAAAATTCTCGCTAATTTTATTTCACGCATTTTCTTTCAATGTTAACCTGTTTGTTTTTTTTAATATTTTCTTTCCCTTTTTTGCAAAAATTCTGTTATACGATGAACATGAAATTTTAGTTCCTTGACCTCTCTCTGTCTTGCTTTTTTTCCTTTTTTTTTTGGGTTTTATTTATATTAATTTTCAACTTCCCATTCTTAAGTATCTCAATTATTCTTTATTTTCCATATTCATTAAATCTCTCTTCTTTTTAGATAAAGGCAAAGATTTCTTAAACCACCAAAAAATTATAAGAATTTTTTTTTCCAAAAATTCTACAATG